TATGTTTATGTAATTACTAGATAAATAATTATTATAATTTTTCATTGATATTTTTCAATAGATAATTACGTGAGTATTTATTAAAAAAAACATACAATAATATATTTATACAAAAAATATTACTTTAGTTAATGATTGTGTCTATAATTATTATCATCATGTTTATTAACCATTCTGTTATTTATTTTATCACATTACATAACTCTTTAATAATTTTTATTATTCTTAGTTTAAAAAAAATCGATATTATATCAACATAAAAGTTCTGCGAATATGTTTTACTTGTTCAAGGACTAATATATATATATATATTTAAAATGCATATAAATAAATATAAACTCATTAAAAATGATAATATACTGATAATAAATGTGTAAATGGACTGATATTTTATTGATAATCTTTGATGAAACTTAATTATAATATTCATTAAACAATATTTAAACGGAGGAAGGGAAATAAATATATCTAAAAATCTTCAAATACAAAAAAGATGTGTAAGGTAATAAAAACTATAACAAAAAAGATTATTTTAATTGTAAGAATGGATTTTTTTAATTTTTAATGATAATTTAATTTATGTTTTGTATAAATCTAGTTATCAATATTTTTATTTTGAATGTTAGTACGAAAAAATCCTGAGATAATTCTTATAAATCCAAGGACTGAAATATATTTAAAATGCTTATAAGTAAATAATATATATTCGTTAAAAATTGAAATAGAATATTAATTCTACTTGTTTTCTTGTAGTAAAGATATGTTTTTATATAGAATAAAAATAGTCAAGTTCTTCCAATAATCTAACGTATATATAAAATTAGTGCATTCGTGATTGGTCACGGTTGGTCTGTCCTACAAGTTTTCTTGTTATACAGACACGTTTTATGAGATTTCTCAAAGCACACCCAAGATTCCCTTGACGTTATTAGAGCTCTAAGAAAACGAATAAGAGAGTGGTTGAGGGGTGTTGTTCACGTATAAGTTGACTACCTGAGCGCTCACCTTTGCGCGTACGGGTGTGGTATTTTTTTCCCTGATGTTCCGGAGACCTACTTAAGATCGGCGTCTCTCGAGAGCCGCTCCTTCGGTTGGGTAGACTCTCCGCTCCTCAATCAGGGGCCAAGCAACTCCCTTGTACCTGCTGCAACATGCACATGTAGGCATCTTTGTTCGTGGTCGTTCACTATAATTGATTGTACACGCGCGCACTACACCCCATCTCGAAAGTCCATTTATTTATTGCTATCTTAGTGCATCATCAGTGCGCACGATGAGTGCATCTTTTCCCCACTTTCCTCTATCTTATCTTTCGCACGGGACTCACTTGTATCGAGTTGCTCTCAGAGATATTCTGGATATTGTACCGTTACATCTTGAATTTCGTTGTTTCATTTTTTTTCCTGCATCATGATTCTTCTGATGCATTTATAATCATTATTGAGCATATTTCATTTATTTAAGAGTTAATAAGATTAATTATGAGTTATCTTCAATCAATAATAATTTTTGAATCTTTATATCATACAGATGAGTAATAATTGATTATTAAGTATTGTTATTAATTATTTTTATTATTATTATTGTTGATTATAACGGTGAGAATATAAACCTGTTTAGTGAGAAAAATACTTTGTCGCTGCTGACAAGCTTTGTTAACAATAGATATTTTTTCATGGGGTTTAAATAAATTTTCTTATTATTCTAAATAAATCACTTGTTTCAGGATTTCTATTGAACTTTATTGTTAATAATAGAGAACAAACTTTGACATTTATTATAGAAAAATTTATTTATTGTTAATTAGGTTGGCATACAAAATATAATTAAGTTAAATTTTTTATTAAAATGTAATTAATTATAGTATTTACATATTTATAGTCGCTTGGTAATTTTAAGTTTAGTCTTTTTTTTCTCAGAGTTCAATTATTTATTAAATACGCAAGTATGTATATATTAGAAATGACTTTTACCATATTTATTTCAAAAAAGAAACATTGTTATATTTCCTTAGTATTCGAGTTGCATTGATAATAATTGTGAGGTGTATAGTATTTATTAAATCCTTTAAAAGATTAATGACAAGTTATCTGAGATCAATAATAATTTCAAAGCATTTATGTTCAATTGAGTAATCATTGATCATTGAACGTAATTATATATTGCTATTATTTCATATTTTTGATGATTCATTTTTAAAAAATTAAAATTTCATAAAATTTCCTCAACAAGACTTAACTTTCTTATTTCATTTTTTTTTATTATGTAAATTAAAATAAATTTTAAAAAGTTTTCTAATGTTGAGTAAATCCGTTTTGATTTTTTCTAACGAAAAGATTCATTTATTATAGATAAAAATGAAATAAAAACAAGAAAATAATATTATTAAAATTACTGAGACGAATTTTTAATGAAAATAATATTCTTTGTGTAATAATAATTAATCATATTTGTTGAAAATAATCTTAGATCAATAAAGAAATCCAGAATCCTTCTGAATAGATGAGTAATCATGAATCATCAAATTTTTCTATCGAATCTAACAAGACATTTTACATTTCCGACAATAATTAATTATAAACTTTCGTTGGAAAATTTTTAAAATAATCAACGCACATTTGATACATGATTGAAAGAATGAAAAAAATGAAGATATTTTCCACGTTTCTCAACTGCTGATGTATTAAGCGTTAATAAGATGAATTACACGATATCGCAGGGTAAATAATAATTTTCGAATCTTTATGCAGATGAGTTTCTAGCTGTATGTACACTAATAAATAATTAAATATAATTATTGGTTATTTAATATTTACGATTATCAACTAACGGTTGGAATAAATAAGAAAGAAAATACTTTAGCATTTGCGTATAGTTCAAAGAGGTTTTTATACTTTTGTAGCACGTTGGTCATAAGAAATGTATGCAAAAGCAGCGTATATCCCTCGATCCCGTGAAGGCCGTCTGGATTGAATCATATGTTGGTGTATTATAGGTCGTTGTGTGTGTAGTGTTTCGTGAGTGCAACTAAAGGTAGTAATGTATCAAAGGAAAGAAACCCCACTAGACACGTGACATGAATTTTTCTTCTTCCAGTTTAAAAGGTCGATGACTTAGCTTGTGGGAGGATCAAATGAAACGAGATAATCGGGATAGAAGTAAAAAAATATTTTATCTATTGCGTTGATAGATTGTTGTTTTAAAAATTAACCCGAAGGTCAATCACCTCGCGCTCTCTTACAATTACTTTATATACATAACAACTTCATAATTTTCGCTGGCATATGGCTATCAGCATGTTACATGCTGGGTCCTGTGCAGGTATGCAAATGAATTACGAAACAACCATGACAAATTAGTTTAAGTAGATAACATATAAATATAACGCATCATACTTAGGTACGTTTACAAACTCACAGACTGCATAAAGCACATGCAGAATACTTGCCAACTTGAATTATCAAAGCGTAAAAATTGCGCTCAGTCGGGCGGAGCAACGTACATGATTAACTTTTCGCGGTAGTGTACCACCTTTTAGTCTTTTCAAAGCTCATGTATAATTACATGGATATACGCCTACTTAGGATAATAATTTATAATTTAAAGGAAGAATGTCAGTAAAAAATTATCCAGGGAAATTTTTTCCTAAAGCTATTAAATTAAAGCCGAATCTTTGTTTTGTTGTAAAATATCCAAATGTTCATTATTAATTTTCATGTTATTTTTTATTATTATACCGAAAGCAGCCACGTCAATAATGTAGTAATTTTGGAGTTTTTTATTTTTTTATTTATTAAAGTTAATTATTTTTATAATTTATTTTTTTAATGAAATTTGATTTTAAATTGAATTTTGTTGTAAGTGAGAAAAAATTCAATCATCAGAGATAATTTATGAATAAATAATTTTTGATATTATCTATTGGAGTTACATTAAAATATTTGGGTTTTGAGGATAATGAGAAAGAATAACATGTTTAATATTTTATTCAAAAATTTATTTCCAGTCATTGAACGATTTTATTAGTAACAGGAAAAGTTGTACTCCGTATTTACTCTGTTTTATCTGTGGATTTAAATTTGTTCAAGTCTATAGAGTGCGACTCGTTCCAGCTATCGATTATTTAAATACATGAAGAAACAGACAGTTTGTTAGCTTAAATAATTTTTATTCAAATATTATCATTTTTTGAACTCTTTTTATTATTTTTTTTTTTCATTCAAAATATTTTTTATTCGTTGTTTATTTACCTGAAAAGCTGTGTCAATAAATTGTGTCTTCTGGGATGAATAATTAATGAGATCAGGCTCTTTAAAGAAAAATAAATTCTCAAATTCCCATAGAGATTACAGATTCTTTTTAAAATTCAAGATTTCAAGTTATTAATAGAAGATTAATAAAATTCTCAATCGGTTCTGATATTTTTCACATCACTAGAGGAATAAAAAATTATTGTTGAGATCCAAAAGATTTTGATTTATGATAGAATTTTTAGTATGAATAAAATCATAATAGAGAAAAGAGAATATATGATAAATTGAGACGATGAATTTTTAGTATTTTTTTTCATAAAGTTTGTATACAAGTATCAACGATGGAAAAATTTTCATATTTAAAAATAAAAATGCGTATTCATAAATTTAGAAAATCATTAAATCATCACATTTATTAAATTGACTTATATGCTACTTCAATTTTATTTGTATCAATATTCAATCACAAAAAATTAGAATATTCTGTCACATAAGATTCTATATTATAAAAATTCCCTAGATTATTTTATTTAAATACAAAATGAAAAATTTTAATAACTGATAAAAGCTATATTAAATAATCTAAACTTAAATTAAAAATGAGTGATCTTTATTTAAAAATAAATATAATATTTATTAATATATAAATCATTCAAAAGTCTTAATAATTTATCAGCATTTCTACATTTATACTTCATATACACTTATATATAAAGTACTCTCAACACACAATGAGTATATGTTAAATAATCAACCTTACAATTTAAGCAATTTATTCAAATAAATCTAAAACTTGTACTACTATTATAATTTTATCAAATAGTTTTGTATTTTTTATTGAACTCATGCAGCTGCCCCAGGTGATGTTGGTGTACGATAAATTCCAGTGAAAATAATTGATCGTGATTGTTTATCGTAGATGAGGTAGACAAATGGATGATTAGCATTAAAGGTAACAGGTTCAGTCGGTCTGCTGGAACGGAAGCTCAAAATTGCTGTAGCACCTGATGCTGTCGTTCCTTCTTCAGTCAAATCAATTTTAGCTCGATGAACTGCATCACCAAGATGCAAATTATCTTCAGCACTACTCAAAAAACCTCGGAGATCAGCTCGTCCTGGTGTTAGAATTTCTCCAGCTCCCAAAGCATGGAAAAGTTGTGTTACTGGAAGCTCTTTTTCAATACTGAATTTAGGAATTGATAGTCTGACTTCTCTTTCCAACATTCCTCGTTGTAAGATTCCATAAAGTTCTTCAATTCCTTTTTCTGTGTTTGTCATTCTTTCAATTAATTGGTTTATGCGGTTCTTATTTCTTTCGTTAGCTGTTAAATCTCTCTGCATTTTGTTTGTTACAAAAGGAGGTAGAAATACGAACATGGAAATGGTGTTACCTTTGTAAGGCAATTCAATTACATGAGCTCCCAAGTCTTCTGACACAGCTGTAATGAAATAATAATTGTTAGTCATAATTATAACGAATAAAAATTTTTAACATTATCTCTGCTTACTAATTAGTCATCCAATAACTCGAATTTAATTATCTTTAAGATTATATCTGTTATTTCATCATTTATTGATAATTATATTGCTGATTAAGATTGTTTTTTAATAAAATAATGTTTTTTCATAAACAAATATACTTACTAAAACTAAAAGAACCTTTTTGGTTCATGAACGTAACCAATGAGTCTTTAGATCCGAAGAAAATAGCTCTAGCAGAGCTGGCTGGATCGAATTTTTGAGCCCAAAGTCCTTTGAAGTATACAGCATTTGTAAGTACCAAGTCAGTATCCTCAGCAATAGCATCTGTTGCAAGAAGATCCTGGATGTGTCCTTTGGTAATATTACTAACCCATTCATTAATCTGATTCCTAGCACCTTCTGGGTTGGCTTTAAAATCCATTTGCTGTAATTCGCTACCAAAAAAGTCTAACATACATTCCCTTATCTTCTTCTTATCACTAATCCATAAACGGTTAGCCGTGTTGAATTCATAATCAGTTGAAATATTCATCTGCAATAATATTTTATATATTTAGAATATTTCACAAGCATTTTGTCTATTACTTAAATATTCTAAAGAATTTATAATAAGAAGTTTGACAACTAGCTATTACCAGTTTGAAAGATTTTTCAATTATATAATTTCCCCAAACATCTCGTTTAGAAAGACTTTCAGGTATTCTAAGAGCTCGTTTCAAAGATTCTTCTGTAGTTCCACGAGCTCCAAAATAAGCTAATGTCAGAGCTTCATAAAGACTATGAGGGCTGAAGAAAAGATTATCTTCAGACTCAATCAAAGCTGCTTCTTTCAAAGCATCCAATGCGAAAGAAATCTTGCCCTTTACCATGAGCTCATTTGTGTCAGGTGCTATAGCTCCTGCTGCATCATTGTCGGTGATGCATTGTGCTAATGTACCCTCCAAAACGGAGCCTATTAAAAGTAGGCTTAGAGCCGAGATTGCCTGAAATAAACAAAATTGTTAGACACTATTAACATAATTCATCAAATTTAATTAATAATCATTAGTGAGTTTTAAAAAGTCATTTTTTTTAGCAATAAAAAATGGATTTTAAAATAAAATGTCATAATAAACAGGATACTGATTCAGAGGTTCATGCTCGGTCATTGGAACGTTTCCTTTTGTTATCACAAAAAATACTGGAACTAAATGAGTTTGACTATATACATAGTGATACATTTTCAAATTACTACATTACAAGGCTGTTTGTCTAATCATGGTGTTATCCTTGTACGTAACTAAACAAGTTTTGTAATGAAACATGACTTCTATCGTGTTCAGAAACAAAACGGAAAGAGAATATTAATGATGATTAAGAAAAGCAACCATGTTCACATGCTTTGTGAGCATCTAATACTTTTTTAATGATTTCGAAATGAAAAGTCATAAATAAAAATATAATGATAATAATTGAACCTCAAAGACGTAATCATTGTATTCAGGTACTAACAGAGGAGCTTTCTCGACTAGTACCTGGAGAAAGCGACATATAATTCGGACGGGTGTTTCGAAGACATTGTGGCAGAATTGAGAACATTACCCACTACTGAGCTCTGACTGTTTATTTCGAAATCACTGATGATCTCTTTCTTCTTGGTCTGGGTAATTAGGTCAGTGTTAAAGAAAATATAACAAATGGATGTCATACATAATATAGGTATTGAATATTTTTTTTTAACGATTATTTATCTAATAGAGAAAAAAATGCCTAGACATCATCGAAATCAAATCAGTGAAAGTTATTATAAATAAAGGCACAAAAAAGTGAAAGTAATGAAAATATAATCATAATAAAGTGCATAAAGTGGACAAAAATCATATTTTGACGTTAATATAAATATTGGCTGATGTGAAACTCATTATCAGCAGTTCAATCATTCTAGTGAAATCAAATTATTAAAAGGAAGCATTGGAGTACTTCCTTTCATGATGAATATTTTTATGACTTACTTGTAACTTGGCCATGAGAATAACTCAGATAGGGATACAAAAATATGCAAAACAAAACGTCGAGACACAAAAATGATACAGTATTTAGCCAATGGCAAAGTAAAACTGAATAAACGTCAGAAGAGAAACTTTAAAACCGGCTTGTTGAACATCCTATCCCCACTTTCTTTTCTTCCCTCTTCAAATACAACTCTCAATAAACTTGAAGCCATTTACAATGTCATATCGTGGGTACATGTAGTGACAATATGAGGATCTCATGAATATGTAAATTGCTTAACAAGCGAAAGCGTTTACTTTAGAAATAAAAAAATACAACCCAACTAAAATAAATTATGACACATTTTCAAAACAGGTAGCAAAAGCACGATTCATCGAAATTGATGAATCAATCGAAAAGTATTTTATTTTATTAGCTTAACTTTCTTCTTTTCAACCTTGAAAAATATTTAATTTAATCTATATTTTCTACGTTGTTATCTAAATGCTAAGTATGGACAATATAAAATTTGTTATGATCAGCTTATAATTTAATCAATAATTGGCAATTGATAATTTTCGATTGAAAATCATGAATCTATCAAGGGAATCACTAGTCTATTTTTATTTATTGAGTGAGAAATGATAATCACATAACTATTATCCAATTGTATTGACCAATGTTTCTATCTTGTAAAAACAATTCTGATAACAACCAATCAAAGGTCAACAAAGCTATGATGATATCATATTTTAAAATCCATATTTAATATTCAGCACAAATTTTCACTTGCAAGTATTTCTTTTATATATTATTAACACTCTTCATACGTACTTTTAATTTCATTTTCAATAGGTAAAACGATTTCGATCAGATTGCAGAATAAATTGATCGATGAAATAATCACTATAACAATATTTATCTCTTGTCATAAAGGATAAAAATAATTAATGTTGATAAGTTCACGTGTTCTTTCGAGTGTGTGATGCTTACTGTAAGAGAAAATGTTCGAGCACACTGTTTTATATGCTGGGTAGCCTCTCTGGGACAAGTCAAGTTAGTATTGGTCTCCTTGCATTCTCATACGATTGTGTATTCTCACTGATTTGACTCCACTTGGTTAGCTATCAACTACGTCAATGAGCATTCACTGTTGTACATATGCGTATACATAAGAATATTTCATCTTCTTGAATCGATGTGAGGGGAAAATCCCAGCTAAATTGCTTATTCTCTCCATTTACCGTTTGAAAATTTATAGCTGGTTGCTTAAAAAAAATTTTTTGTGTTGTAATTTTGCTTACGTATTTTTACGATCAATTTTTACCGGTCACTTGGTTGCTCCAAATAAGAAAAATTATGTTTCTTGGTAGAATGATGACGGAATTTCCCATTTTCAAGAGTTTAATTTGTTATTCCAATTTTCGAACACTCAAGGTTTTCTCCGGTGTTTAATGTCCAAAGAAACAAGTTCCGGGTGGGTAATTCCATCGCTTATATTCCAAATAGTAATCTATCATCTGATATTCATCATTGTCTCTTTTTTTCATGCATCAACAAATATTTCATATTGACATTGTCAATTTTTATTATTTTTAACTTGACGTTTTTATCGGATTTCTATTTCAAATTTTTTACTACCGAAGTTATTCAAATTTAAACAGATAGTGTGTATTAAAAAATATCATAAAAAGAAAAATTTTCCATTTAATAGCTACCTTTTTCTCCATTAGAGACAAATTAATTTTATTTTTTCGTATGTGAATAATTTATTGAATATAATCTTGGAAATAACAACCTCTTTTATGATTTTTTGAGTGGAAATAATTGCTCCCATGATTTTTTATCTCCGATACTGGCTTTTCCTTTCTTTTTGTTTTACATAACATTGTTATTATAGAGAATGGGCTTATAATAAACATATTAAATACTGCAAAATATCCGGAGAAAACAGAAGACTCCTGAAAGGAAATAGAAAATTCCTATAATTAAATATAACAGAAAATTAATAACATAATTATCATAATTTTTAACTATTTACCTGACATATTTTGATGTTCCATTGGATAATATTCACATTCGTGACTAGACACTTTAATGCATTTGGAAATTTTAATGTTAGAAAAATATTCATTTTAGAGACAAGGTCATAATTATCATTATTGTTTTTTTTAACTACTTTACAGCAACAAATCGATTAAATAACAATTCTTGATTGTTTCAATGGAAATCTTTCTCTTTGCGATTAATTTATCAAATTAATGTGACAATGTAAAAGGATAAAATAATGAAAAATCACGTTTAAAATTATTTCCCCTTTATTCCTGAATCTTTTAGATTTAGAACTATATAAAAATTTAATAAAAAATATACTTTTAAAAAGTAACATAAATCCATTAATTTTATCAACAAATATTATAACTATAATAAACTATGAAACAAAAAAAAGATATTATTTCCATATCACAATCACAATACTGTAATGAAAATACTAAAAATACAAATAATAAATACTATAATAATTAATTCCATATTTATTTAATTCAGCCTATTAGATGAGCATCAATGACTGTTTCGATCATCTTTAACTTCAGTCCATATTGTAAGCTTCTCTTGTCTTCTACACAATGAAGTTATTGTAAAAACTGCTATGACTCCAAATATGGCACCAAGTACTCCAAAATATGCAGAATAGACTGTAAACTAAAAGTAATAATTAAATTAGTAGTATTAAATAATATAAAGATTCTTTATTATATATTTATCAATGTTAAATAGTTATTACTAAAGCTCATGCATTATGTAATGAGCTTTTCTATATATACTTTTTAAATGTCAATCGATTAATTTTCTTATAATTAATCTATACTAAATAGCATTAAATGTTAATATTTATTCAACATTTAAAATGTTAATTAAATAATATTTATGGATTTTTTTCTATACCTGGCCTCTGATATCTAGTAAAAAATGATTTCCACCGATAACTATAAATGTTAAAATACTTTGGAAGGTTAATCCTAAAAATACATTTATCCCAAAGATGAGGCCAAAACTATCTTCAGATATGTTTTTTGCCACTTCGAAACTGTAATATAAAGCAACGATTGAATAAGTAAGCTATCAATATTTTCTAAATTTAAAATAAATTTATTCAATTGTATAAGTAAGAGTAAAGTAAACTCAATTGTCTTCTATAAAAATCACAACGAACGTTTATAATTACATTACCTGGCGATTGTCACAATGGTATGATAGATGACACCAAATATTATATATAATGTGTATTGTAACCAAATATTATAGGTTTTTGTCATAAAAAATAATAAAATAGCTTCTATGATGGAGAAAAATGATAGAATTATTTCGCCAAGTAACTCCCAGTTTAATTGTAGTTTTCCAACTCCAAATACCGTGAGACCACCTATAAATTATTATAATAAATTCTTTTTAAAATATAAACATTAAAACTTTAAACTTGATACCAGCTCTCACTGGTAATTATTCACAAATAAATAGTAGTGTTTGAAATATGAAAGCTATATACCAATTATTGTATAAAACGCCTCTACTGCTCCATTATAAATTATGTCATCTGTTTTAACACATGTCTCCCAAATTATTTGAGCGTAACTAAGTACTTGTAAATATCCACAACTTGCTGCTGCCCACCAAAATGACCATTTCAATACATGAATATTTGTATAAGCTTTTATAAAATCTTTCCATAGTAAATAGTAAGCTCGTTTAGTTTTTTGAATAAAAGATTGATTAGGGTATAAGCCTTCAGTTGTCACTCTTGAATTAGTTATGCAATCGTCCTTATCAGGTGAATCTTCAGGACGGTGAAAATATACTGATTGTTTTACTGATGGAAGGAAGACGGCCCACAATGTAGCTAGCACTTGTCCTATAATAAAAATATTTATAATTTTTTAATTAATAAAAAAGTTGAACGATAAAAAAAAACAAAAGAAGATTAAGATAATCTGAATTTCAGGCAAATATTCAAAGAAGATTATTGTTGAATCTTTATAATAAAAGAAGTAATGAAAGACGAATTAGAATGTTATCATTTAAATTGTTTATTACCTAGCAATGTGAGATAATTAAGCTCATGATAGTTCAAGATACTAAATGAAATAGTTAATTGAGCTACAACACCAGTGATAAATCTTCCAAATAATAAAGCTGATCTGATATAACTTGATACAATTTGATAATGTTCTTTGTCAACTTTGGCATAAATATAAGTATAGTAAGCAACTTCTGTAGAAAAATATAAACCATATAAAAATTCTACTACTTGAATAATCGGAATAGAGTTTCCAACAATCAAAATGATGTATGCAGCAATTCCTGAGATACCACATAATATAATAACCGGTTTATATCTCAAAAAATCAGTCAACAGAAAAACTACTACTAAAGTTGCAAAATTACTGTAAGTAGCAATTGGATATATTTCTTGGTTCACCTGAAAAAATAATGATCACTCAAGAATTCAATTGATTGAAAGAATAAAGAATGTTATTGTTATTTACCTGTTTATCAGTAAAATTTTTTCCATGACTTGTTAGATAATTATATATAAATGGCTCACTTGGTCTGAATTCTTTAAGAAAACCAAACATACAAAGAATTTGTGAAATCCTTGTCCATTCCATGATTAAATGCACAATTGGATTATCTTTTGTTAATTAATTCATTTACCGAAAATTTTATTTGGTACCGGCTGAAAATTATTTTAATCTTCATTCATGAATTAAAAATTAAAAATTACACAATTCTGTTTGTCGTTCAATATAACAAAAATTTTTGGAGACTTACTTGACAAGTGTATGTTAATATTTACAATCATGTATAAAAAATTCTATCTCTTGGGTTAATCAAATTTTAATCATCAACATGCGTAATATTCTTAACACTCCACTTACGTCTTGTAAGTACTTAAGTAAGACTCGAAGTGGATACATGTTTTAATTAGCACTGGTTAACTTGCACAAGAGATCATGCGATCACATTGATATTGTCATAGAAATGGAGAGTTTAGTTACGTTTTCATCTACTAGTAGCAGCACCGTTAAACACAAAATCGTCGAAGCCAATAATAATGATAATATTGAATAAATTGCATGTAAATCAACATAAATAGAGATTTTTGTGTGTGTATGTATAATATATTTTTATTAAATTATTACAGACATAATTCCAGAATACATAGTCTATACATAATACAATATATTATATATACTTTATTGTTAATTATTTGTTTACTTTTATACAGATAAATACTTAGTCCTTTTTGGAGCATACTTAGTATGACACAAGAGGACACAACAAATTAAAATAACGAAATTCAAAATTTAATGTAGCTATCATTTTTTGAAATCCCAATAAGTACAATTAATTTTATACAGTTACCAACAATTAATTATTACAAATTTATCACTTTTTTAAAGTTCAAAATTTCTCGAACCGAGTGTATATTAACATTCATTTATAATTTACAATCTTTCATATATTTTAAATATTTTTTTTCAAAATTGATGTATTCAATTTAATTGTACTATTTGAGAATAGAAATAAATTGAAAAAAAATTAGTACGATCTAGTTTTTGTTATTTAGTAATGAGATTTAAATAAAAATTTAAATAAATATATGTATCAATTTTTATGATATTCATATTCAATAATTTGTGATAGTATTATTTATCGTTGTCACATTATCATGTAGATTCGTTTTCATGTTTTTGGTTTTTACCAAATGATTGTATTGACATTATTTATCATGGTGTTTTTTGAAAAATTACAAACTTGTTGAGAAATTCACTTTTATAAATTACACTTTTTAAACGTCTCATTAGTAACGTTTTTATTTTATGGTACATTCAATTATTATAAGGTAACGTAAAGTGATCAGTTTCAATTGGAAATAAATCTAATGTATGTTTTATGTATTTTTAGTTCTATCAAAGCGTTTATTTAATGGATTATCCTGACCAAGTCAGTAATTCATCTATAATAGTGCTGAAATTTTGAACAAATACATTTTTCCATTCATATACACTTACATCAGAATTACTTTTATAGTTATTATGTGTAAATATTTGTAAAATAATTAAAAAATATTTATTCGACATTTACAAATATTTTCATTTCCAATTTACTTTCTATTTATCATTCGTTGCTGCGCAATATGCCCTCAGTGATTATCATTCTTTCAGAAAATACAATCATAGAATTTTGTAAACATTTTAATTTTAGCAAAACGGCATTTGATATAAAATTTTATTTTTTGTTGTTTAAAATTTTTTAAAAGATTGAACATTTTCTCCGAATAAATATTAAAATTCAATAAAGTACTATAGTAGAATTTGCGCAACATAAAGATAACGCTGATTGGCAAAAATTTATAAATTTTTGTTCGAGTATTACAAAATAAAATATTTTCTTTTTTTTTTTAATTCTTACAAATATTATTTATTCACGTCTGTTTATTTATTTTATTTTACAGATCGTATTTTTTTAGGTTCTTACTTATTTTATTCATAATCTAATGCCACATTTATTAAAACTACATAAAGACTATTTACCGTGCATTTAAGCACGTTAATTAAACATTCGATTGACCATTTATTCATTTTTACGGAATATTTTCAATGCACACGTGACAAATGATTTTTCAATAATTTATAGACAAATGCATTTATGATCCAAACATTTTATTAGTGTAAGCCTCTGTGCAAACGATTGTTCCATCTCTTTTTTTCAAATTTATAAATAAATCTCTTGAATATTATTTAATGACTGAAAGCATTTTGTTTGGAATTATATAAGCCTTGTGCAATGAATCAAAATAAATATATACTGAGGTAGAAATTTCTTGTTAGAAAACACATAATACAATCGATTGTTATCCTCAATACTTTTACAATTCCAAATGCCATTATTACTATTAATTAATTATAACAAACGAGCATATTTGTGTGTGTAAAAGCAACCTGCTGTTATAAAATTAAACTAACAATCAACTAAGACAAAAAATAATCTAAGACAAAAGTGAAGATTAATTAGTAAAAAAAGATTGCATTCCTATAGTATCAATAAATTAATTAATTAGCTGTATAAATTAAATCTTTGCATTAGTGACAAGATAACTCAGTAGAAATCTACGTAATATACAAACACATTCAAGTTAATTTATTTGTAGTGTGTGCAAACTGTGTGCGTAAACGGCTTATTTTTTTCTCTTGCAAAATATCCTTACTCGTGCCCGCACGTATAAGTGCAAATAAAAAAATAGTTCAATAAGCGTAGTTGGTTTTCCACCAATAATACAAATTAAATCAATTGTTGTTGGCAATGAACATTAAAATGTCTTCTCAATGATGTAGAGAGTCTTTTGCTCTACGTATAAAAAATGCATCATTTCACAATGCACTGTATATCTTCATTAACAACGAAGACAATTCATGAGAGTATTATTTTAATAATTTGTATTCAGTTTGTAGTCAACTTTCCACATATTATATGATTGTTTTTTGATGATACATACAAGAATCACCAATACTATATCTTCAGACATCTGCTTCGCCTTTGAGTCTAAGACGAGCAAAATCTTCAAATATGATGTCATCATCCGCATCCTCATTTTCCCTGAATAGAAAGTAAAACTTTTTAAATTTAACTCAGTCACAATATACATTTTTTATTGTTAGTTCATTGACTTGATAATATTTTGAAACCTCTATTAATGTAAAAAAATATGTAAACATCAATTTAACGTATTTTTTTTTAAAATAAATTATCAAGTAGTACCTAATGAAAAATATGTTTATAAATAGATCATTATTTCAGATAAATTTAAACAGTAAATCAATGTTTTCGATAGTTGAAATGAATTTTACATTATAATATGATAAATATCGTATGTATTAAACATAATTTATAATTTATAATCTATGTGGATAAACTTACATATCCAGTTGTATCAGATCGGCCGGAACTTCCCCGTTTTCAGTTCTATGGGGAGGATTTACTGGTGCAGGCTCTGGTGGTAACTCTTCTGGCTTTGGATGCATTAGTATAAACGGTAGTTCAGCAACAAGTTCACTGAAAGTAGTTTGAAAATTATAGTAAAATAAATTATAGTATATTGATAATAAACAGAGGTCATTTTTCTACGTAATATTTATCGAATTTATTGCCTCTAACTAGTATAGAACTATAAAACTAACCTTTCTGAAAATAGAATATGCGATTTATTGATAACTTTGATACATAAATTAAATTGGGTAGGGTAAAAACTGATCTATATTTGATGTGATCAGTAGACTGTGATAAATTGAGTTTAATAGTTAATAATATTTTTACGTAATAGATCAATAAATCATCTAAAAACAAATTTTTCAAAATAACTCATGTTTAAAATACATCAAATAGTCAATATGAATATCTTTTCAATTTAATTCATTAAGATCATTAAATAGTAAAAATTCTATTCCATGAATTTAAGTAATTGAGAATAATCTAAGATAAAATATTCGTTAATTAATAAAATAACTTACCCTCCAAGTGCTCCTAAGCTTAATTTAACTTTGACTCTGTACTGAACAATAATTCCAAGATTGGCTTTCTGAGATGGGTCTGCTACACTAAAAATAATATTACAGCAATGTAAATACTCATTATTCATGATCATAATTAAACATTTATTAGTCATAACATCTATAAAAAACAGAACCAACTAACATGCCATGCAATTTTAATACAAATAACGAGAATTTGAGCCAAAAAAAATGAATGAATTAGTGTAATGAGTAAACAATATAAAATAGCATGTGTTTAATTATAAATAGATTCAAGCTAAAAAGGTATATGCTTTGGCATAGAAATAAAAGAAGTGAGATTCAATCAGTTACAATTCAATGGATACAAATTTCAATTTACAAGCAATCAATTTCTGTAAATAAATCGAAGAATTTGTAGCATTTCAGCAATGAATTAAATATCTACATTTCAGTGAATTTGAACTATTTTTCTACTAAACTCTTTTAAATAATTATTTATCAAATATTTATTGTTCAAAATGTACCTGGTAAATACTACAAGTATCTTAATTTCTCTCATATAAAATAAATTCTAGAATAATCAAACATAGGGCCTGGAGCTATAACAATAAATTTAAATAAATAGACATGTGATGCGGCATACCTAATTACGTTTTATGTTCCTTTCGACCGACTGTTTAGTAATGCGAAATATTTACCCGACCAACAAATCTATAGCAGACAAGAAGTTTATTGACAAGTAAATGCGCCACATTTATCTGTTATTATTATTTTGAAGATAAATAAATAAATGTAAGTGACACAGTCGACATTTATAATTACAAATTTAATTAAATAAAGAGATATATACATATTGACATTGAAGATTTATTTTATCAAGTCTGAGGATATCCGAAAGGTTGTAAAATCCAATTAAAAGACATAAACTATATCTTTTATCGACCTATAATTTTTTAATGGAGTGCAAAAGAGTTTGCGACACCCCACGGATATCCTGCATGTGACTGAGTGTTGTGCGAGAACAAAAACAACAATTATATCAAAAGAAAGACGAGAATTGAAAAAGAGAAATACAATAGAGAAATATCAACAAAGACATATTCGTATAATTTAATTTTTTTTTGCTGTTTTAATAATGGGCCTTACAGCGTGCTAGACGCCAAATTTGTGTCCTCATATTTGAGCTGGCCGTCTAGAGCTAGACCCGTTTTATGCCTGTTGTTGGCGAGAAGCGGCGTCACTGTTAACACTTTGCTTAGTGTAAAACCTGGCCCGACTGTGCAACCCACCCTGATAAACATCACCATAAGTCAAAATAAACATGAAGTCATGCGTATATTGTTGTCATCACGAAATGTTCCTTTTTTTTACACCCAAGTGAGTAAGAAGCCGAGGTGAATGTGACGTTTTACATAAAACGTGTCTACGTTCATGGAAATATGAAATTGAATTGAACATTTTTTGAAGAAAATATTCTAGACAATAATTTCGGAAACCAGGTTATTCTGAAGTTGGGAAATTTTTTTTAAAATAAAATTTTTAATCATAAACGAAAAAAATTATTATATGTATATAAAATTATTGGAGTAGATAATTTGTTATGTACTCCAAAGTGAAACTTACTATGAGAAAGAATGAAAAAATAATTAAATGTCGGTCGAAAAGAATTTGATCTTTGACCATACTTTAACTCTTACAATTTAACATACAAATAATCTACCATAATTCATAACATAATTTTTAGTATGCCGACTTATATTTAAATCTATTACTTGGGACATTTAAAAAAAATCTGAAACTACGATCAATAATTTAATCGTGCGAAGTGCGCATGTAACATATAAGTATGCGATTTTTCTTTCTTTCAAAAGTTGATTCCGACTATGATACATATTTAAAGGTGATCGGAAGATAAATATTTAAAAGAGTTCGAGAAAACATAAATAGAATGTAATTGAACAATAAGAGGTGACTTTTATAAGTTGATTAAAGCATTAAAAAAAATAAAAAAGCTACCACAGTTACAAATAGTACGTTGAATTAGTTACGTGTGAATAGTGAGAGAAATATAATGTTTTCAATTGAATTCCACAACCGGAACATAATGACAGACCAACGTAGCCAATAAAAAAAATTCCAGAACATAAAAATACCACAAAAGGAAGAGAATTAAAAAAGAAAAAAAAAATAAGAGCGTAAACGTTACTGGCATTCCATCCACCAACAAATTTATCCTGTTACTCTTACAGTTTCTTTCGGAAAAAATCGAGTGAGGACTGTAAACGGGCCGTCTCAAAGGGTCAATTATCTTCAGAAGATTCACGAGTAATTTTACGATGAACCGTGGGATCCAGTTCTAGTTATATAAAGCTCTCAAATCCTTGGTAATATTAAACCGGTCTATCTCATCAAAATGAAGGGCACTTGAAGTAAGAGTGACTTCGTGAGAACCCCACAAGAAATGTTAAATTTTAAGAAATTGAATTAAATTTATTAAAGTGTGGGTATAATTCAATTTAAAAAAAAAAGAAGACGGCCAGTTTCCAGTTACCACTCTCTTAGTAAATTCGATTATTGGCCAATATTCGAGCGCTCACATGGTACTAGAAGCGAGATTGGTGTCCTCGTGTTTAAGTTGCCCATCTAGGGCGAGACCTCGTTTGTCCTTGTTGGCAGCAAGAGTTGGTTTTAGAGAAAATACCTTGCTCAAGGTGAATCCTGGCGCAACTCCTACACTGCCAGGTGTAATCATTTTATTTTTTTTATGTACTTAATCAATTATAATACTTCATCATGATTAGTCTATTATTCTACTTATTCAGATTACTCATTATTTAGTATAATTCCTACTCATTCATAACAAATTTTTATTTTTTAATCAATTAGATACTTGAAATAGAATTTTTCAACTGAATTTAAAAAGCTAAACTCGTGAGAATTATTTAATTGATTGAAAAATTAATTTTTCTAATGTAAAAAGGAAAACTATAGAATTTGTCATTAATCAGTTAAAGTAAATTCTCATATTAATAATTTTAATTCAAACATTCAACGTAAATATGGATAATAATTGAGTTATTTTTATCTATCATAGTATTAGTTCAAATAAATCATTTTATCTATTGTGTAAATAAATGAAAAGAATTTTTGAAAATACACACGAGTATTACTATAAAAAAGTTTCATCTCGGCTTCCACATTTTATCAAGTACCCTTGCTTTTTGTCATTATCAGTATTGATCATAAATTAAAAGTACAATAGATAATCAGATAAAATACTCACTCGCTTTCAGTTTCAGCTACAGTACATTTATATTGTGCTGTCGTAAAAAGAGAAATATCAGAAATCTGCCTTACAGACACTTTAATTTTTTTCACTGTTCTGTTACTATTATTGGCTATATGAACATTCACGGCGATGCTTTCTCCATGATGATAGAGTTGTTTATCTAATGATGCTTCTAAATGAAGCTTATTTGGCGACATCATGAATACTTTGCTAACTTCTACTGAGGGTTGTTCTCCTGGATTAGACGGTGCATACATAATTTTTCTGATGGCGAGTTTCACAGCGTTCCTGGAAAATCCATTTAAATATTGAATAAATAAATCACCACGACTTTTATAGTTATTATTTTAAAAAATTCATTTTTGAATCAAATATACGAATCGAAGTACGATATAAAGTCAACATTTATATAGAGCTTTCATTTAGATTTAGAAATTGTTTTTTTTTCTACGTAACAGTAATGATCCGTAATAAAGTTTGAAAGTTTACGACTGGAAAAAAAGTTTTAGATATAATTAAATTTCCTATAAGTGGTAAAGCTACTAGCTTAAAATGTTACGAACTCATCAAAAATATATATTCTTTTATTCTTATTAGTACGAAAAACAAATAATTGTCAACTTAGATTGAACAAATAATATTTTTACTATAAAAACATTCATGTTAAGCTTTTTTGGAACATGAAGCAAAGTTTAATGCTACATAGTACAGTAAATATTTAAGCCCGAGTTATATTTGTTTATCACGCTCATCAACTATTAATAGCTCATTAGAGAACGAAAAAGAGGGTTACAGATAAGTTGCGTAGATGTTCAAGTTTCGATAAATAACTAGCAAATTCATGTTAACAATAACTTATAATCATGATATTTATACCGTCTTTGTGCTCTGTCATCATCGGAGCCGCCTACGAATACTTTAACTTCATAATCAACACCACATGGCTTTCCAGTATCACCAGGGCCTGGTTGAAGTGTCACCGATGCGGGACAATTTCGTGATAATTCGAAAAAAAATGGGTATGCATTGTTTCCTAACTTCCTCAGTAACCTTTCTTGTAACCGTGTCAACGGTCTTGTTGTATTGGAGACTGGTGGATAAACTTGTTCCGATACTTGGAAGAGATCCTTTCGGAAAGTCAATCCAAGAACATCAAGATCTTCTCTGCCATATTTGAAGGCTGCCAAAACATGAGCAAATACTTTACGGTCCTTCACATATTCAGGATCAATCAACACCATACCATCTAAAAGTATTAACAAAGAAGGGTTTAAATAGAAAATAATGATGACAATGAAGAGAGTTTAAAGGTAGGTACTAATTAGGTTGCATAACATGCAATATGGTCATGTATTCATGTAGTGATTTTAATGAAATAACCTTGAAAAATCAATTTTACCACATGATTGAGCTCTTAATAGACATTATAATATGTATTGATTATCTCAGTTTATTACCAATTGGATCAATGTGTGTTCCATGATCAACAAAGTCACGTTTTCCCAAATAAACGGTAATTTTTCCATTGTTACTAGATTTTTTGAATACTCGAGTTGCTGGTCGTCTCCCAATGTTGTCCTCAGCATCCATGGCCAGGTTTTCCGTTAGTCCAGCAGTCAACTTCGAGCCATTTGAATCCTTCGTATGGCGACGACAATAATTTCTAAAGTAAACAAATCAATCTATGTTATTTTTATGATTGAATAAACATTAATTTGATAACGATATTTGAATTTTTGAATTTTTTTTATCAGAATCTTAAATACACATTTATTGAGATTGTAAAGAAATATGACAGAAAATTTGTCTTATAAAAATCACTCAAAAATTTTAATAAATTTTTTTCTCATTTTTTGCAAAATACTTCCTTTACAAAGTAACTGACAAATAGGTTATTGAATTTTTGTGAGTTTAAAATTGCTTTTATGGATTTTTTATGTAATTTTCGAGTTTATTGAATGGGCAAACACACTCTTAATTAACACGAGGGAAAAAATGCAATTTCTCATTATTGAATACACCTTTTCTTTTTTTTTCTTTTTTCTACTGAACTTTATGTTATTAAAATTGTTACTTATTAAACAGTATATGAATTAATTTTTTTAATTCTCTTCTCATATTCTATATGAATTTATCATTTAAAATCATTTTCCCCAGGGTAATATGAATTCATAAAAAATTACTATACCTTGGAAATATTTCATCATTTTATATCCAATTTTTTTTACAACAACAATTAAAGATATTAATTCAAAGTTATTTCATTTTCGTAATACCTTTTTGTTCTTGATTGAATATTTTTCGATTTTTTTTACGTAACAAAACATAAAAAAATAAATAACCAATTAAATTGTTAATAAAACAGAATATTTTTTTTCTACTGATCTCCTATCAATTTTTATCTTCTTAGCGTTACATATTGGTTTTATTGATCGGAAAATAATTATTTTTAATTGAATGAGAAGTAAGATATGATTGATATCATAATCTCAACTAATTGCCATGAGAATAAAAATCAAATCAAAGACTTTTTTTAACTTCAAGGCTTTGTATCAATAACAATGTTATAAAATGTCACAACGAATTACAAATTACCGCTATTACATGTTCTTTGAGATTACACGTGTTTATTACATCCGATAATATGTATCATATCGTATTGTAAGACTAATGAATAGAATAGAAATGACTATCAGCAATTGAGTATAAATTTCGAACATTGATATTCTCAAATATAAAAATAAAAATGTAAATATTTAAAAAAAGTCACAATTCTCAATACTTGAATCACAATAAACCACGAGATGTCTATTGAAATTTATCTATCACGTATAAAATGGCGATTCTAAGTACACTTTACCCCAGTTTTCCTGGAAATTGTGGTTATTTGATACTTGATATAAATGTGAAAATATTGTAGTATATAGAAATTGCACATGTAGAACATTATATATTCATCGATTCTCTAACCACAACTTCATCACATTGACACGTGTAATTGGATGATCAAGTATTGTCCAGTATCTACGAAATTTAATCGTCAGACAATTTATTGATGTGTGTCAGCCTTCATAACTCATGTGATCGATACATCGAGACATAATAGTGTGTTTTTAATGGTATTGAGAAAACTTGAGGTGTATGACAATAAACTTTGATCTAGAAATGATTGACACTTTTTTATCATTTTTGATAGCAAAGGATTTTAATTTAAAAATTAATAATTTGTTTACCCAATGAAGTTTATTCTACAATTGATAAATATTAGTTTATTAAAATTTATTAAAAAATAATTTAAAAAAGAGAATTTAATTTTTTTTATTCGCAATTGATATTAGAGCATTTATTTGCAAAGATTAATTGTCAAGGATAATAATAAAATTCAGCAATACTTCCCAATCAATATTTTATAGACATTTAGAAATAAATTGGCTTTTGTTTTCCTTTCTTTTGAAACTCAATAAAGTAACATTGACACAAAGTGCTCAAACATCATCAAATGCATTTTCCACTCTGCTTTTTAATGCAATAAAAAAATATGAATTTCAAATATTTTAATTTCCATGAGCAAAAATGAATTTGCTTATCTCCTTTCTAGTGTTTATATTTACCTAACAATTTTTTGCAAACTAAATTTTTTGCATATCTATCATACTCATCCCTACAAATAGAACTGCGAAAATTAGAGAAGATTAAAAAAAAATTTTTATACAAATTTATTTTTAGATTTGGATGTTTTTTTCTATAAGAGGAATTTTAAAGCGAATGAACAGTGTAACTAAGCCACACCATCTCTTGTCATTGCAAATGACTCTTGCAAGTTTTCCCCAGTAACAAACTACTACGACAGATAGTATATTACAGTGAAATGTCGTTGGGTGAGCACCACTAAAGTTGGGAAGTGGAATGAGCAAGTGGGAATACAAGGGAACGAGCAACGAGAGAGAAGGAAAATTGAGTTATTTACCCTGCTTGGAAGTTACTAAAATAACGTCAGATTTATTCAAGCCAACAATGATTTATTTTATTTTTGAGAAAATTGCGTTCTGTATTTTTAAGGTGTAAAAGTTATTAAATTTTCTAGAGCGAAATAAGTTATGATAACGAGAAAAATAAGGAAAAAAATGTGAATATTTAGTTAGCATCATATACGAGTATATTTAACCATTATCAATGAAATTTATTAAATGAGAAAATGAGGATTTGTGTGTTGACAGCGTATCCGCTTTTGATTCCTGTTGAATTATAGGTAGGAAATGTAGTGAATGATGACCACTCTCGACATTTCCTCTCTTCGCGTGTTCCCGCTACATATTTTATTGGATTGAGAAAACTAATAAACTTTCTTTGCTATAATTGCTCCAATATCTGAATTATAAAGTTTCTATTGTTTCTTAATTATGCTTTTAATAGTTACTTCAAAAAGTATTGTTGATTAACAATTTTACTAATTTATTGATGATGAATATTTACAAGAAATTTACTGAGTAGAATTTAAAATAGTCAGGTGCATGCATAAATACTTAATTAATTATGAATCATAGCATTGTCGCAATTCTTTCAACGAATAAATTTTGTGTGGCTTGTCATTAGAAAAGCAAGTGAAAAAGTGAATAAGAATTCGCGATGACGTTTTCGAAATAACTTTCACGTTTTGTTTGTTAATTCGCGCTAAATTTTGGCCATTGAAAGTAAGTACAGGATCAAACTTTCTGGGCATTCAGGGAAGTCGGAAATTGGTAGATTCTTAGAGGATGATGTGATACTTCACTCATTCAATTCTGGTAATTTTTAAATTAAAACCGAGCAATGTTAGCATTAAAAAATCACTCACCCAATGGTTCTTGTATTGGCGTCAAAAGGAGAAGGGGAGGTAGCCCACACCCTATTCTAAGAAACCAATTAACTTACTTTACACAAAAAATTTTCATCAACTTATATTACAAACATTTATGAACTGATTTTATACGCACTTTTATATTTTTTATGATAAGAACGACTTATAGGGAGTACGAGTCGTTGGAGAACGTCGCTGTAATTGTAGCACGAATGTATTCGATGCAAAGCCGAGAGAGAATAGGTGAAGTAGAATGATAAGCAAAGTAAAGAAGTTGCGCATGTGAATTTTAGCGCGCTCTACTCGTTTATACTGCAACTAAATCCTACAATTATTTTATTACCATTTTATTCGCGGGTTATAATTAATCGTAAACAATTATGAGTTAATTCAATTCTTAATTGTATTACCTGTGTAATTAATAATATACCGATGTTTTCTTCAAACTCTTATCGCATGTCATCTGTTGTAGAAAAACTTCTCTAAATGTTTTAACCAAAAAGGTATATTACTGGATGGAAAATTACCACATTTATTATCAATGCGATTAATTGAACTCATCAACTTTATAATTTATTAACAAGTAAACTTATCAATGATGACTTATTACTGTCATAATATTTTCTTTCAATAATATTTTAGTTTATTGTCAATGAAAAAAAATCGTCTTCGTGTATTTATAAAATATGCCGCATTGAGATGTTAAGTTAGGAAATTGTGTTATCAATAAACGAGATACGCCATCTCATGGATTAATGCTAAAGTATGAAGATGAAATAAAAAATTCTACAACTGTTAAAACAGTATTTAAAAATGGCTTTCATTTTGGGATATGTCAAAAGTGTTTATACGAAATGTTGAAATAGTAAAACAGAATTGCATAGATGATTTGAAATAAATAATGTAAATTGAATACATTATCATTTTTCATGCGATTTGGTAAAAGTTTTTTTGAATCAAAAGTTTTATAATTATTCGAATAATTAAAAAAAAAGAAAAAGTATCATTCCCGATATTCAATGGTGTTGTTTACATTCCAAAAAGAGATATTTTGACGACACGTATGTGAAAATTACTATATGACTAAAAATTATTGTATTGGTTTATTTACTCGAAAAGTATTCAATAAAATTCTATTTTTCAATGGCTTTGTTATTGTGACATTTTAAGTTCAACTAAACAAGTAGGTAAGTTAACCATAACAATTGTCAGGAAATCACCGGATAATTTTTAATAATTATATAAAATAATATTACAGATGGCTGACAAAGAAATAAATAAAGACAATAATAAGTCAACAAATAATATAACTAATATGGAAAAAGAACGGGCAGAATACTTTGGAAAATTAGAAAAATGGTTACACGAAGCTTATGCTTGGCACAGTGTTGCTGCTACTCTTCCACATTATCTAATGTCAGGTCAACTGTTGCATCCAATCAATGGTAGGAATATCTCGATTAATTTTAATGAGTAATATTGATCAATATTGGTTTATTGTAGGCACTCCACTTTTAACTCAGGTACCTGGAAGTACTAACAGTTCTGCTTCAAGTAATAACAGTGCTTCACAAATCGGATCAAATGCATCAACTTGGCAAAATAATAGTCAAAATAGGCAAGGAAATAGAACATCTGGACCAATAGGACGACCAGAAGGTAATATATAGGTTTTCCAGGCCATACAGCAAGAAACAAAAGTAACCAACCATAGCTGCTTTTTCTGTTGAATAATTAAATAATGAGGTCTTGAATAGTAGGTGATAGATAATTGTAGCATACTTTTGATTTAACTCTGAGAAATCAATTTGAATAACTATAGTGAGAGTCAAAAAGATGTGATAAGTGGGTTACTTTTGATGTATGCTTTCTATTGTAATGATAAACTAATCTCAAGATTTCTTTAAATTGATGTTCTAGGGTATGAATACCTTATTCCACCAATATGGAAACGTATTGTGGCTGAATTAATCGATTCTGTAATGTTATTTGTATTAAAGCTTGTAATTACGTTCGTTGCCCTGGATATATTTAGTGCTATGTAAGTATTTTGATTTAATTGTTTGAAATTATTTCGATTATTTGCGATTAAGCTAAATAGGGATTAAAATCTACATTTCTCTATGATATAATAAGAATGGATGTGATTGAATAAGAACAAATTTAACGTAATGAATACGATTTTTACAGGAATATGGAGCTCTATACTCTCGATACCTTACAATCAAGTCTTCGAATTGTCGATTATAAAATGGCAATGGATGTTGCGTCAAGTATTTTAATATGGGAATTGATGCATCGATTCATAGTTTGTGTGTTTGAGGTATTTATTAAATACCTGTATGCAATTAATTAGTAAGATAATATTTATTAATTGGTTACATTTTTAGGCCATTTGGCTTCAACATGGAATGAATGGGCGAATAGGTGGAGCAACACCTGGAAAGTCAGTCATGGGTCTTCGTGTTGTGCAGTGTCGTAGTATTACTCCAATTGAACGTTCGGATGGCACTGAAGCCGTTCTAGTTTCTCCAGGAACTGACCTGGGATTACCACTAGCCTTGGGTCGATCGATTGTGAAAAATATAATAATGACTCTAGTATTTCCTATTTGTTTCTCACTGTTTTCATTCAGGTTTAATCGTACTGGTTACGATCTTGCTTGTCACTCTCTCGTAGTAGAAGATTCTTATAGAACTCCAAATAATAACAACAATCACCTTCATCAACAATAAATTGTCCAAATATATAGAAAAATTATTATTATTTACTCTATTAATATTTCTAAAAGAAAGATATCTACGTGTACATAAAATTATGAAATATATGAATAAAAGTTATCAATCCTTTTTTAGATCTCTTTCCACCTACAAATATTTTGATTAAACGTGTAATAATTTTATCCTACACAATTGTGTGGGTACTAATAAATTTTCAATTAAAATAGTTCTTTTTGAAAACTTATCATTCTATAGATACATAATAATATAAATAATTTTTTAATTTATAGGTGAAAAATATCAAAGATAAATAATAGAGCAATAGTCCTTGAAGATAAATTATGTACACACTAGCTGCAATAGCATTTGAGTATGAATCATATTATATTATATGCTGCGAATTTGAAGATACAACTAACCTATGACGTCACTTCCCAGTCAAACGTGGCGGCCGCGACAGGAGAACGAAGGAGTGGCTGTACGATCTGTCAAGTTGCTCAGTTTTCATTGTGTATTTAATGTTTTTTTTCGTAACTGGATTAATAATTGTGTAATTACAAGTAGATCCAGTAGTATTATTAATAAAACTCATTAGAAACATGTCGTCGTCGGGTGATTTTGGTAACCCGTTGAGAAAATTCAAGCTTGTGTTCCTAGGTGAACAAAGTGGTGAGTTTTTTTCTACACAGTTTTAACATATTCTAGTATTATTGAGAATTAAATTAGAAAATTCAGCAAGTTATTTACTGTAAAAAGTTATAATTTTAATTGATTTATCCTAATTATTTAGTTCTTGATGCATTTTTTAAATTTCATTCGAGGTTATAAATCGATATTACTTAAAGACCATCTCGTATCCTCTCTCTCACTTTTTCTTTTAGTGTACCATGTACTCACGAAAGCTTTTTTCATCTTTGTAAATTTTATTTGTTCCATTTAAACTACATTTTACAGTGACTTTAATAATATATCTATCAACATCTATTCTGTAACATGAGAAAATTAATGTTTCAGTTGGGAAGACTTCTCTTATTACACGTTTTATGTATGACAGCTTCGACAATACTTATCAGGTAGAAAAGTTTAATTAATTACATGTCAGTTTATTGATTTTAAAATTAATTAAATACTTTATTACATTTTTTATCACTATTTGTTTATTTTATAGGCTACAATAGGGATAGATTTCCTGAGTAAAACCATGTATCTGGAAGATAGAACTGTTAGACTGCAGTTATGGGATACAGCTGGTCAAGAGAGATTCCGTTCTCTAATTCCAAGTTATATTAGAGATTCTACCGTTGCTGTCGTTGTTTACGATATTACTAGTGAGTAATGTATAATATATTATTTTTTGTTATAATCTTTAAATAATTTTTTCGTATTGATTATTGATTTTGCTGTTTTTTTGTTATTATTGTATTTATAAAGACATTTACTTTTAAGCCATCCAGAAGTTAACATTACAAAAAACTTAATAACAATAAAAAGTCCTACTATAAATATTATCTTCTTAGAAATAAATTGTATAATATTGTTGTGTAAAAAAGAACACTATTATTAATGTGCCAGTTGTTGATAAGTAATGGTTTGAATTGACACAGATGCTAATTCATTTCACCAAACATCAAAATGGATTGATGATGTACGAACGGAGAGAGGCAGTGATGTTATTATTATGCTTGTTGGTAATAAGACGGATTTGAGTGATAAACGACAAGTTTCAACTGAAGATGGAGAGCGTAAAGCTAAAGAATTAAATGTGATGTTTATTGAGACTAGTGCTAAGGCAGGATACAATGTCAAACAGGTAAATAAATTATAGTTATCTTTTATATTATTTTATAAATTTTTTATTTCACTTGAAAAAATTTCTTTTTATTTTATTCAATTAGCTATTCAGAAGAGTTGCTGCAGCATTGCCTGGTATGGACTCCACAGAAAATAAACCTCCAGAAGACAGTATCCTTTATTTAATAAATACTTTTACTGAAGTGTTTCTCAATTCTTTACTTAATAGCATCAAGTATTCATTTATTAAATGTTTTATAATTTCATCATATTTTAATGCATGTTTCAATGGTTTGATTAATAATTTTTTCAGGATATTTTAATCACTTATTTTATCATTTAATTTAATTATTAATATTATTATTATTAATTTATTTATTTTGTGTTTTCCTTAATATATTTTTTCGAAACCTGTAGTGCAAGAAGTAGTTCTCAAGGATACACCAATTGAACTCAAAGCGTCGGAGAGCAATTGTTTATGCTAAATCAAGATAAGTCATAATAGACAGACTTACATTTCTACACTCCATAGACACGAATTAAACAAAATTATAAACAAGATTCGTCGTCAATTGGTGCGCTAACGATCTTGACAGATCACAATTGTAACAATAATTTTTACCCACATATTAAACAGTGCGATTTTTTAAGAGTGGTGCACATATCCAATATTTTGTATAAATTGCTCATTAATTTTTATTTCCGGGAATCATTCGTTTTTATCAGCATTTACAAATGATGAGATCAATTCTTTGTACTCATTTTTATCGCTTTATCCATGCTATTCATCGTGACAGCCACGGCACTAATAATTATACATTAATCATTTATACAAAAGCAACGATTAACTATTTTCAAATTATAAAATTCTTATTGATCACTTTCGTTATCAATTTATATACATTTTCATATTTACAACAAAACATTACATAAAAAATTTAATATTTAATTTATATTATTAATAATAAACTAATTATTTAATTGGAATTGGATTTAATAAAGTAATGAGAAAAATTATAAAAACTAAATGTTGATAATAAAATTTAGATTTTTTCTCAAGTACAATAAATAGCAATAAGAAAGAAAAAGAGAGAGAGAGAGAAAAAAAGAAAGAGAAGACAATGAAATGATTTTAAAGACTTAAGCATATTATAATTTATAACACAAAAATAATTTAGATTCATTCAATTACACGTACTGATTTAATGATGGTAAATAAATAGCTAAACATAAAAATTTTATTTGTATCAAATAAATCATATTTTAATTTACTTTATGCTTTTATCGTTAATTTATAACAAAAATTTTCGTTTAATATTTGTTAAATATCATTAATACACAAATATAAGTAATTTTATTTGAAATTTAATGAAACATCAATTGTAAATAGTTTTATTTTGGGAAATGGATGATTTTAAATCATTTATATAGGTATTCTATTTATGTCATCGTGCTTTCGTTGTTTTTAATATTTCCATAATTGTAATCATTTAACTTTTATTAAAAAAAATCGAAGCTAGGGCTTAGATTTTATATTTTAATACTTTAATGATATTTCTTATTTCTTTCTAGATTCCTAATTTATATTGTTTACTGCAATTTTCATGTTTTATTTTTAATAAAAGATCGGACAGCGAATACGTCATGTCTTATTGCATTTTCTATACATAAGAGTTGTAATTGCTGATTGAACTTTATGTATATTCCGTCCGATTTTTACTGATGAAAAATCTATAAAAATTTATATCACGACTGCAAGCTATGAAAAATAATGTGTGATAAAAATATTTCTATTATTAAAACACCTTAACAATGAAAACAGCTGTTGATTTGCAGAATCAATCATCAATGCAGAATGGATCCGAGTCAGAAGGAGAAGGTGGATGCATTTGCTAGGAAAAAATATTTCAAAGGATAAACGAACCAAAATGGTACATTTTAATGTACGTGACGTTCATTTTCTCTATCGTAAAACCAAATATACTTTATTATGTAGACCTTGGTTACTTATTGAACGTATAAATATTTCAAAAATCGTTAAAGCGTCGTAATAATAAATTAATAATGATTTTTGTTTATAGTAAAAATTTATTATAATTTAAGTGTGCTTGTACTATTTTTAGCGATATGTGAAAGTGAAATTGTGCGACTTTTCCCATTTGAAAGTTTATAGACAAGCACTGTGATATATTTTTCGTTAAAATGATAGAAAATGTTTAATATTTATTAACTTCTTGTACAATATTTTTGCTTCATTTTGTAAACAATTTTTATAACTTATAAATATTGAAGAAATTGTTTTTTTTCATGTGAACAATGAATTTGAAACACTTGATAGTTTGAATTTCATCTTTTTCTCGGTTGAATTCATTATTCTTAATGAATAATTCTATCATTTCAGCAGTATAATAATCTGATAATGATTATTTTATGATGAAAAATAATTTGATGGCACGCAAAATAATAAAAATGTTGTGGGAAAGCGTATAGTTAACATACTTATATAAAATAATTGCTTTGGACTTGACACTGGCAGAAAACTGTTACGTTTAATCTAAGAGACTGAATGTTTTTCGTACCTTCATCACGCCATCACCTAAAAAGTAGAACTAGTTTAGATTTTGGGCTATTATGAAGACACGGGCATAATAATAATTAAATAAATGCAAAACTTAAAAATGAGATCATATTATGATGATGATGATTATTATTATTAATACAAATAAAATATAATTATGCCATGATTAATGGGCCAATTTTTTACCAACCTAATGAATAATTATCAAGTACTGTGCCCATGGTAAATCATCCTATGCTAAATACTATTAATGCTAATACAAATTCCCTGCGAATTTAATCTGCCTATGCATGAAATTGTGCAAAAATGAATGATAAACACCAATTTGTTAATGTGAATCTGCAAGAAGGCTCAATTTCTACGCTACATTATCTTTAATCACCCCTATAACATTATTTATTGTAGAGTTTAATGGATAGTAGAGCTATGAGAAATGTCAATTACTGTTTTTTTTATTGTTATTATTCATTGAGTAATATACCGTTACATAAGTTTATTCAAAGTGGATTGGAAACAGAAAACTTACATATGAAGTTAAATTTTGTGTTAATTCATTTAAAGTTCATGCAGTAAAAATATCTTAGGTTTTACTTTTTGATTTTAAATGAAAAATTAATAATCAAAACTTATCAGTATGTGTTGTTTTCAAATTCATAAATTTTATTTCATTTATAATAATTATTTCTTGCTTCTCATAATTAATTTATAAATAATGTAAGAGTTTATCATTGTAATTAAAATTTACAATTATTTGGTGTGGTGAAGGATGTAGAGAAATAGGATTTAATTCTTTAGCTTTGGCATAAGTGTAGTAATTTACAAATATATAAATTCATTATTGTTAAACCATATATATTCAACAGGAGAAAAATTCAAATTGTGTCTTTAAATTATTGATTTTAAACGAGAAAAAAAAACAAAAATATCAGATGTTATAATCAGTTACAAAAATTGTTATAAGATTAAACAAATCTAGACTTTTGAATTATTACAAAATACCATTTTCGATTGGTTTTTATGATGTAAGCAAAATCGTTCAGCAATCTATTACATTTGCAAACTATCGAAGCTTGTTAATGAAAGAAGATAAATAGTATAAGAATGAATAACGAGTTATTTGTGTTCACGGAATTTACCGTTTTCTATTGCTTATATACCTTTGTATCACATACAGCCACGCGATTGTAACACAATACGCAGTGAAATAAGAAAACAAAATCTGTATCGGGTGCAATAAAATAGATATTGACAACTATTCTCCGCTTTTTTTAATTTAATAGCCCTATAATCCCGATTCGTTTTGTTTTTCAATCAAAAAAAGCTTCAAGGATGATGACTTCAATGGATCAGTCGTTTAAGGTTTTTTGATACGCGTCTACAAGTCGGATGATCAAAGTTTTATAAAGTAATGAATACAAATATATGGGTTTACGTACTTTATTGTAATATCAATTATATACAAATTTAAAATCATATCATTTTTCTTTTATTTTCTTCGAAACATACTCACTTCAATCCTAATTTATATTACACTGCATTCTTTACCTAAATCATTATTTGTTCAGTACATTCTTTATCAAGTATTATTCGCTTAGTCTTTTCTTTGTTATTTACAATGATTATCTACGATTCACATAAAAATTCCAGATTAAAACAGTCCTTTTTAAATGTTTTTCCTTACCGGAATAGCGATTGAGATTAATTTTAATGACCTCTATATTTGTTTCTCTGTAAAAAAGACGAAAAAAATATTTTATATCATTAAATGACTATTACACATTTTTTGTCATAATTTTGGTAATATAATATCAAATTACAATAGTTTAAATACTTGTCAGTAATTAACTTTTTGGTGGCAGTTTCAATTATTAAAATTCTGAAAACCTTGTTCTGATTTGAATACAATGATGTAATATTTTGTAGATGATACATTCCATATTTGAGCAGTGGCACAGTGAGTGCTAAATTATAAATGAATATACTTTCCCAATCGAGATGTAGTGTTCTTTGATCCGGTCTCGATATATTTATTTATATACTTTAATAAATAACTATTAAAATTTTGAAGAATTAACAGTCCCAGGCTCTAATGGTCATGAACGAATATTTTTAACAATAAACCTTTTACATTTTTTTAAAGTCAGTTTTAATGAAAATTTATACATATTTTTAAAATGTGAAAACTAATTCATCCATTGTGAAAAATGATTCTTGACTTTAATAATTTTTCCTAAATAGTCAAACATTTCTTATCAATCAAGATGATATTTATATTTATCTTCCTAATCACAATCATTCTTTCGTACAACTGGACTGATTTCTGAAATTTCAAATCTAACGATTTTTTTTTATTACATTTATAGAATAACTGTACAATTAATTGCCACTGGCCTTTTTTCAAACAAAAATTTTTCAATCGCACACACAATTCACTACATCATATGTATGTTTATTTTATATCCATGTTTTTCCACAAATAACGTGGCAGAATGAGAAATTCTGTAAATTATTCGCTCCGTCAATACGAATATGGGATTATTGAGAGTCCATAAAAAGGAATTAAAGGCCATTTGTTTAAAATGTCCCGTGGCAGTAGTAAGATTTATTTTCTCTGGAGGATAATCTTTTTTAAACAAATGATCAGAGGAAAATCCGAGAACAGCTCTACGAGCTGTTGTTCTAAAGTCAGACTCGCAATTCTTCCATTATTTGTTGGTGATTTTGACCTTTTTTTAGTGTACCCACAGCCGACATTGGCATGTTTTCCTGTTGTAGTTGATTTGGACTCATTATTAAGTTTTGTCCACTACTGGGTTTAGCTGGTTTAGTATTTTTCGGAGGTGGAGGTGGCATAGGCACAAGACAAGAGTTATTTTGCAAATCCGCAAAATCTGGTGGTGGCATATGTTGGATATGATGTCGTTCAGTAGAGGTTTTTGTTTCTAATTCACCACAAATATTGTTAGGCATTTGACCATTTTCTTGACGTTTTTTCGGGCAGTGATGAAGATTTTTATCACGTTGATAATATATACCAGCGAAAATAAGTACATTAAGAATTAGTAGGCTGCATCCAATAGCTATAGTCACACTCAATGCAGTAGAGTAGGCGGCAAAACCATCCTCTGGTTGAGAGGTCGTTTCTTCAAAGGCCAGTTCACTTGATGGCACCGTTGAAGTGTTGTGAACACGCTCTGTAGTTATCTCTAGTGTTGTTACTCTCACCGTCGTTGGTATTCTTTGAATAAACCTGGGTGGTACCTACAAATTAAAATAATAAAATGAATTAAAATAAAAAACTTCTTTAAGATTTCATTATTTTTTTTTTATCATAAAACTTCTCAGATGACATAAAAAATATTATAATCGTAATTTTTATGCACAAAATTTCATTCATTCTCAGATGTATTAAATATTTTAACATTTTATGAATTTAATTTTTAATAGCATTAATATGACTAAAGAAGACATAATTTTTAGTCAATTACCTGTTCAGCATCTAGCAAATGATGAGATCGGGGTACATCATCTCCGCCTGGCTTATGCAGATCCGGAATAAGATTTAACCAGAAAGATAGACGATGAGCTCTGTAGTGATTCTTTAATTTCGATTTTAAGTCTACAAAGAGTACGGTAAAGAGTTAATTAAAATTTTTTACAAGACTGAGTTTTTGTTTTTGTTTTAATAAGTTTTATTTCGAAAGATAAACAGGATAATTACCAAGATTAAGATAATTTTTATGCACTGCTTCATAAGCTGTCCAGAGAATATTTTTAAGTTTAGTTCGCTCTGGACGTGAACCTCCTGGACCTGTATCCGGAGTTCCTTCATTTGGATTTCTAGAAAAACACACATCATTATTTTTCAATTATTCCATCGAAATATTTATACTATGTTCTCAGTAAATGTTGGTGTTTGAGTTCTCGTCTAGCTACTTACCCAGTACGAGCAAAGTTTGTAAAATATAATATAACGCTTTCAGACAACGTTATCTCTGCTCTTGTGTAATTTTTTGGCCAATGCGCCAACCCTCCAACTAATGGAGCTCCAAAAAAGTAAGGCAATTCTTCTCCATGAATACATCCTTGCCTCTGAAAAATTTAGTTTCATTTTTGTATTAAAAATGAAATATGTTGACTTATTAAAATAGTACATCCATGAAAAATAGACGGAAAAAGAAGAAGAAACAGCGAAAGTAAAATTTCTGTCTTTCATCAAGACCTGAATTAACTAGACTTTTAATCTGGTCCTGAGGTAGACTAATTTTATCTCACGCTCTTTTCTTTATGTATACATATATACATAGAAAATTATAATTTTTCTCACATACTTTAAATTCTATATCTCATTAAAATCTTTATGGTTTATAATTTTAATTTTAAATAAAAACCTATACTAACATAATAAATTTCTCTTAGAAAAATTATTTAATTTTTACGTAATTGGTTCTTGTTCACTACATAAAATAATGTGTACATTGTATATACAATTTATCCGTCAGCCTCATTTACTCTATTCTGATTGATTACTTTCAAAAGTTTAAATGAATATTCCTACATGAAAAAAATATAAATGAAAAAATACTACTCCATGTTCTCTTACAGTTTCCATCAAATTTATGATGTTGTAATAAAACTGTAGGACATGAAAATCATGCCTTAGACGAGGATAATTTTATTTTTCGTGGTTATTATTCCGCAGAGGCATCTAAATATTTCCAATACCGGAGCAAGGATAGCTACAAAGGGCGAGATGTTTTAGTAAACCCTTGGGACAGTTTCTATACTGGATTCCAAGCAAATTAGCTATGTATGACAGCACAAAGGCAGAAAGGGTGGCTTCAATGATTGGCTCAATGATTCAACTTCAAACAAAATTTTATTTAATTAATGAAAAGCAGCGGAAAAATTTTTTAAGATCCAATTAAAATGACTATCACGAGAAATAAAACATTAGGTGATAAATTTATTGATTAATTAAAGTAGTGAAATGAAATGTAATTTAGATCCATCTATTTGTCTATAGACGCATAAATTTTCTCGTTCTTTCTTGTCTAGTTGGAAACTTCGGTAATCAGATAATAATATGAGTTATGAGCGTGCGTTAACCCGACGTCGCAAGGGTTGAAATCAGCGCTCAACGTATTGCGATCTTCAACCTTCCGGCATATCGTAGGAAACGAGGAAATTAGGTGGGAAATGAGTGGAGCGTTGATTCTCCGAAAACAATCTTTTAGGATTGAGATTGTAATTGTTTAGTATTCTTTTAAAGATTACTAACCGAATTTTATCTTGAAAATGCATCCAAAAAATAGCTAATTAATTATTTTTCCACAGTAATTCTTAGTAATTGATTGATAATTACAAAAAACAAAAAACAAATATTTAAATTGTTTTATTCATTTTGGCAAAGCAATAAGTGTCCACTTGAAATTGATAATTAATTACGAAAACCAAATAAAATGTATTCGTTTACATTAATTGAATATTATTTTATCTGTTATTACGAAGAATTTCAAAAGTATTAAATTGATGTTAATTAATTAACAATTGTTCAAAAATTCCAACTTTACCAATATTGATGCTGTAAAATAAAACCTTAATTTAATTAAAGTTTTTTATACAACATGATAAGTGATAAATTTAATTATCTACATGAATTCTACTACTAGTAATCTTTTTGAAGAGCTGATGGTGAAAGTAATTTTTATTTTATTGTCATTTGATGAAATGTTCATGATAGTTTCAAGTATAAACATTTAATACAGTAATAAAAGATAAAACTAATAAGGCTTACATAATGTACCTGTTGATAATCGCCAAATTTAGTTTGATAATCAAAAACGTAAAGATAAGAATTCCTATGAGATTGGCTGTGGAGATCAGCAGTTCTTGTTGCAGGTGCTACGGTATTAGCATCTCCCAATGCTTCAAGCGTTTCATCTCTGAAAATGTTTAAGTTAATTATTAGTTGTTATATCAGTATTTAAAACATTCCATCAAATCAAAATGTCAATTATGGTAGAAAAAAAATTGAGAATTAAATGGAAACTTTTCCAATTTAATTGACGCGTGGACAAGAGTTAGAGAGTGAATAGGGATGGCACTTGGAAATACATCACAAGCGTTAACTCTCACTACACAAAAATTCGTTTGTTGGAAATTAAAATTTGAATTGGTAAACAAATGAAAAACTGTATATATGAATACATGTACCGTATATTGACTGGATGTTGAACTGGTCTCTCCCAATCAGTATATTCATTGATAATTGTCGCCAAAATTTCTGGTTGATGATACGTATAAGTATTTCTCACAAATTCACGAAGAATTTTCGTTCGACGATCAACTTCCATTCCGTATTGTGCATCGTCTGATGTTAATGAAAAGTAAGATTCTGAACGGACGACTCCAACCATTAAATCATACCTGAAATATGAAAAATTTTAATTAGTTGTTTCTATTGATTTCTATGGAAGTACAGTTGATTGAAAATTTCAATTTTCACATCAATGATCTGCATCTGAAGTTTCAATCTCTGTTGTAGTCATAATTAAGTATATTATATTATACAGTTATTATTAAATTATTATTAAAAATTATAAGGAATACATGAGTGACTGAACATTGGTAATTTATAATTAAAGTGTAATTTTGAATTAATTGAAACTCTTCGAAAGTTTATTAACAATTATCTGTATTGATTAAAAATTTTATTAGAGCAAATATTAATTGTAATCAAATGAAAAATGTAGAATTAAGCATACACAATCTTTCATATTATCAACTAATGTAGATTTATCTTTACATTTTTATTTTAGTATGTATAATTAAATATGCTTCATTCACCACAAAAAATTTGTCTTTCTATATAAAAGGAATAAAATTTTAATTTAATTTATTTTAATTAATATATAAATTCATGTATAGTAGTACTTCTATTTTCATATAATAAGAATGGTCTAATAATGATAATCAGTAATGATGAAGTGAATTGTATTTAACTAAAAAAATCGTTTATTTAGTATATCCATATGATGAGTCTGGTGTTTTTTAAATGCCCTAGGACTGGTTACGTATCTCATAGCAGACACACACATAAAACGTGGTAATGAGTTTTCTGGGATGCATCCTTTGATACCAGTATATTTGTTGTTTGCGCGAGCGCTTTTCATATCCTCCATCAGCGGGAAACAGCCGAATGAAACTTTTTCCGACAGCAGAGGAAGGATGAGTTAACAAAGTCATTGAAATTTTTCGACTTTTAATGGATACAAGTCACACAAGGAGTATACTTCAATTACTCATTTATATTTATTATGATTATATGAGTTAATATTAACTCGGAATATAATATAATTTACTTTCAAAGATTGATTACTAATTACATCTATTTGTGATTAAAGTTGAAATCTTTGAATAATTTCTATCTACAGTTTAATCGTTAGAATAGATTAATTTTGATTGTAATATTGTTTCTAAGCCCTTTGCAACTGAGTATCGTCTAATTACGAAACTTTTGAATCTCCAATTAATCTGAAGTTTGTCAGAAAACTCATGAAAATTACTAATAATAATAATAGCTTCAAACATAATGCATGTCTAAAGCAGGTCTTATCATTAAATTAATGAGGAACAGCAAGTTAAATGAATGACACTTCATATGTTGAAAATACTGATTCTTATTAAGTCATTATCAATTCTTTGGTGAATTTGTGATTTCTAAATGTCCTAAATTATCTAGCTATTGTATGAAGGATGTTGAAAATACTAATTGTCAATAATGAAATTTTTTTTGGAATGTTATATTATATTTCATTAAATTTACTTATGTGTAGATTGTTATTATTAAATTTACATGATTAATATTCATTATTTTCTCTGTTGAAGTTTGTAGAATATCAATCATGATATTCAGTACTCATCATTATAAATTTACAATAACACAAGTTAGATAATAAATGTATTCTACTTTCTTTGTCTCTCTTGTGAATAGTAGTTAACTATTCGGGTACCTCGCAATGGGATATTCAGTTTTCGCGAGCCCGTGGCTAATTTCTATTTCGTTTACCTCATGCCCAGAGACATTTTCTTTATGTAATAGAGCTTATTATCTTTTACGATAGTTATCCAACTACCTGGATGCTCATGAGAGTTAGTATTCACTGCAGTCTTTGTTTTTGTATATAGATATCGAACAAATTTGTTTTTATATCTGACTCCAAATAGTGCTTAAAAAAAATTTTCATTATTACCATGAATTTTTAAGCAATTTTAAAAACTTAAAATATTTATACAAATGTAACAAGAAGCTGTGGAAAAACTTTTTAAAACTTCCCTTCAAAATGTTTTTACATACAAAACAAATTATTTCAATTACCTGGTTAACTTTGAAACTACATCTTTCCTGAGTAAAATGTTGTTTAGTGTATTAATTGTGTCCACTTGGAGAGTGTAACTATCTGAATCTCCAGGGTCAATAACAACACCGTCAATGCTCGGGCCAAATGCGGGAGCAAAAGGCAGTCCTTGAACTGGAACTGCTAGAAGGTTTTCCAGTGGGACATCTCTTAAGCAGCGTAGTAACAGCTGTGGATCGTGGATAACCTGTCAACATTAAAATTACTGAAAATTTATGCACAACATGAGTAGATTCTAATTTAATCCATGGAGAAAAGTTTTTTATTAATTTATCCACTGAATCAATTGAAATGAAATTCAGTATTTGATATTTATGAGCTTATTTATTTTTATTTCACTTATTTGATTATCTTTAAATTTATTTCAAATTGAAATAAATTTCAATGACCCACATAATTAATCAAGAAGATTTTCTTATTATAACTGCTCTAAAATAATATCGCAAATTGAATATTGATGAAATATAATTAGATTTTATTTTATGAAAACATAATTTATCATCATTGTTTCGATTTAATCATGTTAAATGTAAAATAAAAAAAAATAACTATTCTGAAACTTGTTATTGGAACTTATGACAATATGAATTTTTTTTAAATCAACATTCCAATTAAAATACAATACTGATTCAGCAAGGTCAACTGAGAGAGTTGACGTGATGTTAATTATTGTATCTGTTTTCATTTAGTTCATCTCAACATACACGATAAACGTTTTCCCTAAATAATTATGTTGATTAATCTATTTTCGATTAATTTCGAGGATCTGCTAATATTCGTACTATGCACATTGGCCATAAATGTTAATCAACAGTTGGATCATAAACAAAATGCTCTGCTTAATATTAGCTCTTAATATCAATCGATACTTACTGAGGAACAATTTAGATGTTTAGCCACTTGCATGGCATAATTAGCAGCTCCTCGAACTAACGCCCAAGGTGACAAAGCACTTCCAGACATCAGAACACTTCGATGAAACAGCAGACCTATAAAAAGAAAACTCTATTAGCAAAAAATAAATGTTTCCTCCAAAGATAAAAATATATTTATCGATGGTACGAGCTCAATTAGTAGAATCAAGGGAATTGCAAATCTTGAGTGACCTCTCATTAAATTCACGACAGGTTTAGATATATATATAGCAAGCGATTTCTACAGTTCATCCAGTTGTCGGGGTAGAATTGGCTATCGTGCAAATGAACTTGGTTCTCTAGCTGATGGTTCCTAATACAGACTGTGTTTAGTCTCAGAGGAAGGCTTCAATACAGTGTCCAGTGAATCACAGCGTACGGAAAGTGGTTAGGGTTTGTAAGCTGGATGTTGATGGAAGTGTAAAGGTTCAGTGTTGATTATATGGTATATTGGACGGACAAATGATCAAAGGAATTCACTTGAGGGTATCTTGGCTGCAGTAAATTAATTTCAATCAATTCCTTATCAAAAACAATTGTCATCATCAATAGTTGAAATATACCGTTGTTCAACCTTGGTAACGTAACTTCTTCATAAGAATAAAGTTAAAAATTATCTTAGAAATGATCTTCTTTGTTTTCTTCTTTATCTTAACGGAAATACTTTGGTCCGGTTGTTCATCGATTTACTCAGTTGTCGACGATTCCACGGGGTAAAAAGTGTTTCCGAAAGAATAAAGTGACAGAGGGAGGGAGTGAGAGTCTTTTCGTCTTGTTCTCCTTCCGGAAAATCTTCCGAGCGCGGAAGTCGCGCGACGGGATAAACGAGAGAACGACCGGGGCGTACACATTTTTTTTTCATCTCATCCGGGATGAATTTATTTTCTTTTTTACCGCCACCGAGACTCAAAACGTTTGCCAGCTCTCTCTTTTCTCTCCTCTTCTCGGTGACAGCTTTGCGGTATACCACTCTAAAACTTTTTCTCACTCACTCTTGCTTCTCACTGCACTTTTGCTTTCTTTATTTTCCTTTTCTGTTGGCTTCTATTTTTTCTATCTTCTCTCGTTCATTTTATACCCTGATAAAAACCACCGTATCTGAATCAGGTACTCTAATTTTACACAATTCTTGTGGTTACATTTTTTTTTTTACCTCTTTTCTTTTTCATTCAGATTTTCCGAGATCCAACGTGACCCAGCCTTAATTATTCTTTACATTACTTCCATAAATATAAAACAGCAAGCTCTTCAGTAGTAATTCTTGAAGAACTTTTTCTTCAAATACGTCACTTAATTCGTCATTAAATTAACATGATTTTATTCTCAGAGAATGAATTATACTCTAGAGGTAAGGGCAAAAAAATTCTCAAGTGAAGCTGTTTATTGTATACATTGAATAAAAAACCATCTTTAAGTGGCCAATTATTAGAATAAAGAATTTTTAATATCTAAAGGAAATGTTCACAATTATGTTTTATGTTGCTAATTTTTTATATCCACCAAGTAATCATTTTTTATAAATTTTCTTTTCTAAAGTAACTATTAGAAAATAATCTTCATTCAGATTTGAATTTTAAAGAAAATTTATTACAAAAGAGATAATAATATTTAAAATTCACTTTATATTTTAAAGAAAACAATTTTCCAGTTATTTATCTCTCTTAAGAATAACTTAGCTTTTTCAAGCATTTTATTTCACAATTTATAGTTTTTCAAAAATAAATTAGGATAATATTGAGCATGAAAAGCATATACACGACTATTTAAGAAATTCAAATTTACAAGAAAAAATATTAGATATATTCACCATCTGGCACAGCAGGACTAGCCATTAGGAAATTGACGCAAGCTGCACCAGTTCCATGCCCAACAAGAGTAACATTGCTCGGATCTCCACCAAAGTAAGCTATATTCTCTTGAACCCAGTGCAATGCAGCAATTTGATCCATGAGGCCGTAATTAGCTGGAGAACGTAAGTGCGAATCCGTGTTGGCGTTGAGAAAGCCTGTAATCAAAATGCCGAATAAAAGGATTGTATAAAATTTGGTTATCTCAATTTTGTTACTCGAGAAATTCCTTTTATTTGATATTTTTTCATTTTAATATAATCGACAACAAACACAAAAAGAAATCCGAAATCGGATGGCATAAATTCATTTTTTTTTTTATTTTACAGTGATGGAATGGATTTGATAACGAATGTGTATCGAGAGGAAAAGCAATAAAAATAAGAAAAAATGCCAAAAGAATCAACTAGATTCATCGATAAATTGCATGTGTAATAAAGAAGGTAGGACGAGAGTATAGAGTGTGGATAGCAAATAAAGTGGCAAATTTACTTTGCTTCACTCATGTTACTCACTTTGCATTTTCGCCGAAATATGAATTTCATTGATCATCTGATAGCAAAGTAATATTTATTGCTTTTATATTAAACTGCCAAATACGTATTTTATTATTATTATTTTTTAATATCAGAGATATAAAAGAGAGATTGCAGTATTTTCCAAAGTATTGTTGGAGCTTTAGCAACTTTAGCAACTGAGATTTTCATTTTCTCTTTCTTTTGAAGCTTCTGATATTTTATAGGCTGTCTCTTTTTTCTTGTCTTCCTCTTTCTCACATTCAACTTTTACATAGGCGTATGGGTAGCAATTTTCTTCTTTGTGATAAAACAGGAAATTTTTGTGTCATTGGGATCAAGGAGAATAGTTTGTTTGAAACAGCAGAAGTTTGTGACTGGAGATTTGAGTTTTTGAGATACTTTTATGAAATTTCCAAGCAGGCAAAGAGTAAATAAAGAATGCTGAAGTGATAAAAAAATATAAAAATACTGAAAGGTGTGAGAGCTGTATGTCAACTTTGAAATGCCACTTCCGGCAACCGCTGTCACAAGCGAATTCACCCAAGCATCCGCTATAATATTTGTCATGCGTCAGGGTCCGAGTTTACAGCAAATTATTCAGCAACCGGAAAATATTCTGACTCACTCGAGTCGTTTCGTCGTTTCATGAATTTTAAAAATGCATTTTTTGTGACACTCTGGCCGCAAGCTCGCGACTTTTATTCATTTCCATTGTCGAATTGTTTGACGTTCAGTTCTACACGAAAATTGATTGAGTTGTACTGCAGCTTTATCAAAAGATTATTCGAACATTTCTATGCAAAGTTAATTTAATAAATTGTTATCTGAGAATTTATTATTTTTATTATTTAAAAGTAGAGTAGTTGATATTAGTTGTATAGTCAACAACTATACCTTTACCCTAGTTGTTCATTTATTTTTATTTTTTGTGCATATACATGCGCTAGATTTAATAGGAAAATAAAGTCAACAAAAGAGTCTAGTCTCATGTATATTCTTTCAACTTTTCACCTTTTAAAATTTAATTAACGTTGTGGAGTGAAAATCTAAATAATTGAATTTAACTAGAAATTCAAAAATAAACTATGAAATTAAGTTCTACATTTATTCAATTGCCTTTTTCAGAAAGTTATTTTCTAGTCAATTTTTATGCAGTAAAAAATCGACCGAGTAAATTGTGGTGACACGTGCAACAAATCCTAGAATTGTGAATGGAAAAGTCAAGAGTTTAACCTAGTCAAACGGAAGGACCAACTGTAATGAGTTTCCTATTAGATTTGGTCTCCTTCGTTACCAAGACAACCGGACGGAACTTCCAATCTCTTTATAGTTCCTTTTACTTCACCCTTCTATTTTTTCTGTTATTTTTTCTCACTTTTTTTCATTTTTTTTTTTCAACTAACTCTTTTTATATATTTCTTTCTCGTTTTCTTTACATTTGTTGTGATCTCCTGTGACAGAAAATCAGAGATTTTTCTGCCAGACAGCTGAGAAAAAAAACAAAAAATAAATTTGTGATTGGATGCTGGTATACAAAGAAAAAAATTGCAAAAGTACATACTGTCTCATAAATCAGGATATATAGATAGATATAGTGAAGCATGTGTCTATATATCTATATGTGTACTGTTTACGATGGCTATAATTAGAAACGATCGAACATTGAATTGATAATTCACTGAGGGCAATGACAAATGACAAATCGATTCGTGGTTACTATTAATTTACAAATTTTCATACAGATACATGATCAATTATGACGTTTTAAATATTTAACAAAATTAAGATAATATTTTGAAAACATTTCTTCAATCTGAAAATGGACTGTTCGAAAATAATATAAAAAAGGAAAATATTTCTGTACCTGTCACTATTTCTACTATCAGAATTTATTCAATACATTTTGATGATTTTATATAGACCAGGTCAAGCTCGTGTTAAACATTCATGGTTTGTTTTCTATGTGCGATTGAAAAGATTAATAATTTCTATTATTTGCTTTGCTCCAGATAATCACGTTTGTATTGATTGAATAGTTCTGTTTTTGGATTTAAAACCTCGAGGATTGCAATCATCTGCATCATCAAAAAGTGGAAATAGCTACCTCAATCCTTTTATACTGCAATCTCTGAAAATGTCAATAAAATATACAGCCAATTTGAATTATTAATTTAACAATGTCAAATCTATTTCAGATATATATTTTAGAAGATTAAGATATTTCTCAAAATATAATGCAAAAATTTAATTTATTAAAACTTTAATTATAGATTAATCTAGATTTTATAATAAACAATTGAAAAATTATCGTATCACTGTTTTAAATCGAATTAAAATTAAATAAAAATACTATACCTCATATGGTTGAGTAAAAATATTCATAATATATCATTTTATTTATGATTCAGAAGCACAAGCTTAAAAAGGATAAAAGAGCTTGGATTTTATTGGCTTTTAACCATCAAGTTACCAACAAAATTGATGTTTAAGAAGATTCTCCTTTATTTTTCACCTACTCTAAGATTATTAATATAAGTGATAGATCTTTAGGAGAAAAAATAAATAAAACTAAAACAAAAATGTAGGATAAAATGATTAATGAAGAAATACATTGGTATATAAAGCTTACCAAGAATGCCAAGTCTGTAGTTAATGGTAACGACAACGACACCTCCGTAACTGGCAAGGACGCTTCCATCGTAAGGATTGCCGCTATTCCACTCATAGCTTTCTCCATGCACGAAGACTATCACTGGATATCTTTTACTGGCGCCGTCTCTGGCGCCGGCTGAAATCAATAAAAATTACGGATGATTGATCAAGAACGCTGACAATGCGTTCAGGGCATTTTCATATTGGGACGACGGATAAAATGTTATTTTTCAACGGAACTTCATAAAGTCGTGATACTTTAGTGAAGAATTATAGAAGATTTTTCACTAGACCATGATTCCCCTTTAGAGCATTGCTGTTATAACTGATATACTTTTATATGAAATATGTACTACGATATTCCTTCACTTATGTATTTTGATCGATAGTACATTGAATTGAATCCAATAAAGACAAAAAAAAAGATGAAAATACAAAATAATGTATAGCAAACGATATTGGATTCTTATATGATGGAACTACCATTTATCAGTATTGATATTTTATGATAAAGAAAAGTTTGTATAGCAAAAAAGTGGATAAAGATAGAGCAAAAGAGAATCAAAAAGAGAGTTAAAAAGAAACTGGATAAAAAACTCTTGATTTGAGCTGGAGAAGAAATAGAGGAAACGCTTGGAATGGCGTCGAGAACAATTTAATTTATTTGGCTCTCTCGGTCTTTCTCTTTTCCCCTTACACTTCACTACGCTTGAATGAAACTGTTTGTTCCATGAAAACAGCATATTTGCCTCTTGGCAACCAGCAAAAAATGATAATGCACTTGAGACGTAATTGCGAAAATATTGAACAAAACTGCCAGTAGTGTAAATCGTTTGGTAGAATCACTTATGTGTGTATATTCTCAGTGAATCGTTCAAAGTGATTAAATTAATTTGTCGTATACTCTGTGGCGATGTACATCGATAGGGGGTTTACCCCAAATATCGATAATTAAATAGCTAGATGCCGGTAATGAGAGTCGACTGTAATCAGTAAATTTCCCCACTTGAAATTGAATCTGATGAGCTGAAATTTGTTGCCATGTTTCGTCTTTACTCTCTATACTCATCTCTAAATGACCCCCATTCAGTTAGCTAATAAAAGCATGTGGGTAGTATAGATATGATAAAATTGATGATTTCAACTTGAAGACTCTCTCTTCATAGTACCCTAATCGTACATGGTGAAATTGCTGTTGGAAAGTCTGGATCTGTCATATTCCTGAATGATGTGAGAGGTAGGTACAACACGTGCACGCACCACTTGGCAATCTCTCTCGTAACGCGTAGCATTGTAGTTACGGGAGTTGATGGTGAGTCGGCCGCACTATCGTATATGCGATGGTGATGCGTGATTCGTTGAGTTACGACCTGCGTTCGTTCCACCATAATACGGTCAGCTCGTGTATTAGCATACTAAACCTCAATTGATGTACCCAACGGCCTCCGGGTTTGCACTCGGTTTTAATTAGTACAGATGTCGCATTAATCCTATCTTGGTGTTTCCCATCACACGTTTAAATTTATCACAACTCACTTCAAATTTTATATCTCTACTTCATAATTAACTGCTTTGGATCATTCAATATGATCAAGGCTTTTTGATATTCCAACTTAATTGGATAATTCCATTTTCCATTAATTTACATTATTTGAGGTGTGAGCTCTTGTAAGTGTTATTATAAGGTTTGTGGATGTTAAAATTGGTGATAAGACTTATGATTGTCATTATAATAAACATTGACATATTGATATCCGATTTCTTGCATATGAAGGGAACATTACTTTAACGGTGAATAAATTTTCACGAAGCTTCTGTCAATATTTGAAGAGTTCAAGTGTTCAAACAATTTTGTGTCAGTGTGCGACTAGTTGGTGGTGGTTAGACGGCAATTTTACATATTCATAAGGCAGTATACTGTATATAGTTTGATCGCGAGTACACTAAACGAGCCATAGTAGCGGCAATTCTCTCGAGATGTAGTTTCGTTTTCAAGATGTTCGTAATATCGACATCTATCGATGAGAAAATCCAATATTGTATCTATAAGTTTTATAATGAGAGTAATTAATTTAATAACGGATTTAATGAAAATCTGTATCAAATTTATTGATTATCACGGTCTAATAAATAAATGATAATTCACATGAGAATTCTAGTTGAATATTTATTTAACATAACAGCCTTTTACGATATAAATCGTTGATCGAGTTTCGTTTCAATCATCAAAAATATCGAGACGATTTATATCCAACTGAACAGCCAAGGAACTTTGATAAGTTTCAAATTGAATCAGAAAAATTTTCGTTACGGTTGCACAGCTACACCTTCTATATCTTCTGAAATTCTTGTCACTTGAGACAAGGTGCAAGAGTATTTTTGCTTCGTTTCGTATTTTTTTCTATTTTATTTTTTCGTATTTGCAAGTTGATGTACTTAATTTCCATTTCTAAAATAACATTGCTTGGCTGTTATCTTTATTGCCATCATGTTGATCATTATTATCATCATCATCATCATTATCTACAGTACCATCATATTTATTTGCATTGCTGTCCATTAGCTGTTGATGAACTCTGTAGATAGCATACTTATTAGAAAAATCATTTCGTTAATATTTTCGTCGAGAGACATCCTTAGGGATAGGCAATACCTGAGGGAAATCTGACCTAATACTTCTTTTCAGTTCATTTTTCTCTTCGTTTCTTGCCGTATTCTCAGGACTGGTTAAACAGAAGAGTTAGCAATCAAGTTAAGCGAAAAAATCAATAGCTAAAAGACTTTAAAAAAAAGTTTTCAATTCCATTTGTAACTTATATAATATTATTTTACATCACCGAGCAGTATGGCCTTTTATGATAGTAAAATATTAAATTTTGAAGCATCAAAGTTGGCTTCAGCCTATGTGGGCTGAATTTGTAATGACTTAACACGATCGTATAACCACCTCATAAGAGTATTATGGCCTCTGGGTCGTGGACAGTATTCATGAAAGCAAGAAGATCACTTGTGATACCTGCATATACCACTCATTAATAAGGATAACGATCTCTAGTTAGATACTCCTAGTACAAAGGTATCACAAAATGGAAGAGGATCACCCTATAAGTACAGCATTTACCGTACCTGCTTGTTCACAATTATGTATTTATTCGATATTGTATGTAATACGAACAATTGGGCTTATAAAGGTCCGGTAATTTTAGTTGATATTTCAAACCACCTCACAATTGATTTATACCATAGAGATATCATTTTTTTTCCTTTTCTTCCGGCTACCCATTTGAAAGCTCTATCTCAAAATAATCGTCAGTTTGATGTAAATGGTAGAAAAATTGATAATTCTTCTGAAAAAATAATACCATTTTTATCTCATGTTTTTTTTTGACGTTCAGAATAATAGTTTAATTATTCATTCATTTACCTTTCCATGAAAATACAAAATTTTTATGGCTAAATCCAGGGGAACAAATTTGAATAGTGTTATAAATTTTATCCAATGAAAAGATAATTAATTGTTCAATTTATCTCGTTTAATTCAGATTCTAATATTTTTATAGATTTATAAAACATCTATTTTTTTGGTGGATAATCTTCGTATTGTTTTCTACAAATTTATTCAATTTTTTAGGTGCCCAATGAAAAAGTATTATCAATGAGCAGCTTTTGACACTTTTTTTATGAGTAATGTATTGACAAAAAGTATAACAAGTAGTTTATTAATTGTTTTTATTGAATTCAAAATTATACCAGTGGATGTTTCCAGCTGAGGAAACGTCTCAAGATAAATTTCACCACTCAAGCTTGTAGAGTTGGAAGTAACGAAGTATATATATATATATATTCTTCATCAAGTAAGTGTAGCTATTCAACAGTCTTCGTTATAGTATTTCTCCAGCTCATTACTTCTGTTAAATGTCGAATGTTCTTATCCACAGATATTTTCTTCATCAAATGCTACCTCGAGGAATAAAATGGAATGAAATAAAATCAAATGAATTTCACCAGTATAAACTACAGAAAGGTGTATGAAACAGGGGTATTTATTGCTGGAGTGGTAAAAATTAATTATATTTTACATATAAAATGTTGAGAGTAATTTCATAAATTCAGCTTTCGTTGAATTTCGTTGGAACTCCAAGCTGACGTACACATATGCCGTTCTGTGTTACAGACCCTCATTCTAGAAGTGTCAAATTAAATAATTTAGTAGTCGAGCGTTAGGGTATGCTCTCTGCGAACCCAGAGTGAGCTTCACTTCGTGTTAGGGATTAAGCTTTTCGCATACCCTGTGATGGTAAATGCAATACTTTTTCCTCCACCCATTACTCCATTTATTCTTTCCGTTTTGCTCTGTGATTCTCAACGTATACTATAGCTTTCTGCCTAGTCTCATATTTCGTCATCCCATGAAAGATTGAACATGACGGATGGGATTCAGGTGAACTTTAAATAATATTCAGTGTTGAATAATACAGAAAAAAATTTTTACCTTTGACGTTGCATTTATTAAATCCACAATATCATCTAGAAATTTTTTTGATAATCCATTTAATTTTTTTATGCTTTATATGTCTAATAACATCCTCAATTTATAAAAAGATATTGTGTAAAATGTTACGTCTGTTGAATTTTTCATGAAAGAGATCGTTTTTTCGAGCTCATGTATCTATTTTGCATACATTTATCAATGACAATTTTTATGAATATAATTATTTAAAATTTTATTGTGAATTGACTTACATCATCATATTTGTAGAAAGGCATGTTATGCAAAAAGATGATTATTATCGTCACAAATATTCACTTCAGAAAAATGTACGTGCTTGTTCATTATATTTAATCAATTCAAATGTACACAAACTTGTTCCAGTTAATTGTTTTTGAAAGCTCTCAAAAGTTTCTTTTCGCAATTTTATTTTTATTGTGGGAAACAATCCCTTTATTGTGATAGAAAAATTATGCCAATGTACAATGGTATTTATCTGATGGGATTTTTTTAGTTCACTTCAATACATTTTTATCTATTCGATACATGTTCTAATAGTAATTTTATTCAGAACTTGATAAAATCTTCTGTAGTCATTTTTTCCAACTAAAATCAATTCCAACAGCTGATTGGTTAAAAGACTACGA